TATCAGTGAGTTAATATGTATACACACAAATCGTTGGGGCATATAAGGAATGGTTATGGTTTTTTATTATCCTTTGTCAATACGAGAGAGCGAAGAGTGAGCGTGTGCAAGAGAGCGAGAGATTGCGAAGCGGACGAAAGTGAACGGTGTGTATTTGTTCTCAAAATAAATAAAAAGCTTCAACTGATTTTCCATCCATAACAACAAAAACACGGCCATTGCTGCATGCCAATGAAATCTGGCTCGCTTATTTTATTGAAAGCTTCGCACTCGCCCTCGATGTACAATTGTACATATGTGCGAAATATTGACACGACATTCCAATTGCCTTCCTCTCGATATGTGGGACATATTCGAATTTCTTCAAGCTCACATTTAATCGCCAGTCGAAATTCGATTCGACACAGCAGTCGAACGCAAACTAAATATATTCCAAACACTACTGTCTTCTTGCAATGTAAAATCATATCGACCATTACTATTGGTCAATTTGAAACCAATGAAAATATTCACGCTGTGAAAATATCGATTTCGAAGCGATTGTGTCGATTTTTTTCTGCTCCTCATCAATATTAAACATTTGTTGATTGATTTAAACGGTCGATATACATACCGAACTACAAATTACAAAAACACAGACACACACACACATTCCGATTGAGAAGTCAATAATGACTTTTGAGTTGAAAAATAAATAAAGAGAGAAATAGTTTCACGCTACGTGTATTTGGAATTTTAGAGTATAGTAAATTGACAACCTTATCAATACTAATTTTGGATTCTCTAAACCAAACGTTTGAATTTTTCAAAACTTTCGATTGAAAAAATCATGTCAGCGGACAGTGGTTGAAGGGTAACAAAGAACAAAACTTTGCCTTCTATTATAAACCGTTTCTTTGGCTCACCATTCAAGTGTCAACATCCAAGTTTGAGATTTTCGATTGGACGGACGAATGAGTTGTAAGTATTCAATCACCAAATTTTGGTGGTGGTCGTCGTCATTTATTTAAAAATAGAGAACCACATTAAATTCAGCTTACTGTCATAAACACGTGCCGCATATCTCTCCACACAATCGAAAGTAAATAAAACAAAAAGATTGCTCTTCATGAAAAAAATCAGGCTCCCCCCGAAATTGAACATTCAATCTTGAGCATTTTTTGTCGTTGCTGATTATACTTTGCAACCTTCCACCTTAACCTCACAAGTGCGTCATACAACTTCAATCTGCTGTACAATAAAATCCACAGCTTTATTTCCATTTCGATATTCACTTCGAAGAATTGCAATTTTACGCTTGTCTCGACGGTTGTTCACAGCAACAACAACAGAAAAGCGTTGAAGTGGACAGAGAAAAAAGAAACATTGTAAATGTACCTAATGTTTATATCGAAAAATCATTGTGAAATTATGGCTAGAGCACACGTCATTTAAATACAATGATGCGGCGCTAGTTCTTACTCGTTTACGATTTAAAGCGATTCCACTTTGCGTTCAAACAGTTTTACGATGATATGATCGAATGACGTTTTTTTTTGTACACGGTGTTTAAAATTGTTTAACACCAAATATGTGGAAAATGATGTATTTTGCATAATTTTGGTTGCTTTCGATGCAATGCTCAATGGTTGGTTCAAGTAATCTTTAATCGCTTCGTGTAATAAATTCAGACAACACAATCAATTACACAAATTACACGTATGTAAATTCAGACCATTTATATGGGTATTTGCATTTTATCTACATCAAAAGCTTTCAACATAGCAATTCGCTAAAGTTGATTGTTGCTCGTGTTGAATTGAGTTTGAAATCAGCACTGTGTGTTCGGTTTAGAATCGAAAAAATGTTCGAATTTGATCTCACCAACGACATATATAACGTTAGGCAACTACTATGTTTATATCGAATAGTTTCTATTTCCAAGAGCGGTAAAAATAGACAAGGTGATTTCGAGTCGAAATATGTATAGTATAGAAGTAAGGAGCAAAAATAAGTCCAAAAATACGATGGTTTCGTGATTATAAATTCGGTGCTGTTTTTAGACCATAGAAACTGTCGACACACGGCGGTATGTGTGTTTAGTTTTGCACATGTGGTTGCACGCTCTCGCTCAAAATTCGGCATGTTCAAACTGGAAGGACGGTGAGAATAATAAAACAGCGAAGCGAAAAAAAGGATACGGAAATTTCAAAATAAAACGCTCGGTTGACCATGAAAACTACCTCAACCAGTCCTCAATTGAATCATTTTATTATTTTTTATACATTCTATCCAGATGCAAAACCGTCTCAGTAACTGTACACAATGTTGACGAAAATAAATCGATAAAATGATGACTTTCAAATCATGTAAAGAAAAATGCTTGTAAAACAATGCCCGAAAAAATTATCCTGATCGAATCCACGCACAAATCGATTTCGTCGACTCATGTCAAACCAAACGAAAAAAAAAAGCCGTCCAAATTCTCATTCATTTTTATGATTATTTCGTGCATTTACATGTTTATCCATTTCAGGCTTCGTGTAGACCGAGAACACAAAATTATACAACCGCTTAATCGAATTTATGCAAGTGGCGGGAATTGGGTGGTCATAAAGTGCCACAGAAGAATAAAAATATTGTAAAAGAAAGAAATTAATATTGATGGATATTTTATCCGTCCGGTTTTGTTACCCATTCGTATTATTTGTTTTTGCGAGACGCTCGTTTCCATTTATTTAACGTAATGAACGTGAAATGAGGGCGTGTAATTGGAAACTCGCATCAAATTGATTAGGAAAATTGAAAAGAAATAACTTTCGATAAGAATGGAATTGGAAATGGTTCGACGACAATGTATCATTTTCATTTGATGGTTTGGTTGAAATAATCAAAGAATCATCATTAAAGATTTACTTACCTTTGATGGGATTTCGCTTACTGGGGCTCGTCATTGTTTGCACTTTGATTTGTTTTCGTTCTTTTTTCTTCTTCTTTGCTATGCAATAATTATCCGGTTATTTTGATTTCGTTGCGTTGATTCATTGAATATGCTGGGGCATGGAAGAAATGTCGAAAAAATAAAAAGATTATTGTTTTTCATTTTTCTGATTTCATGCGACGCTATGTGAATGGAGAGTGTTTTTAATAAACTATTTAAAGTGGATTTTTTATTCAGTTTTTGTCAACACTTTAACATAAATTTAGAATCATTGAATTGTTGAAAAATTCAACAGATGAAAAAATAAAATGTGTGTTTAATTTGTCGAGTTAATATTGATATCATATCGGTTATATTGGAATTTGAAAAGAATTTTCGACGGAAATATCTTGTCAAATAGACCTCGTATATAACAAACAAACCTCGTTATCAGTAAGCCGCATATCACACACAAACACACACACACATGCATATTCATTTCATACCAAATCAATTAATCACGATTGGAAAAAAACCAAACAATCATCAAATTTATTACGAAAATTGTCAGTTGTTTTATGTCGAAAAAAATTCATTCATATTTTGATGTTTTCAAATGTCATAAATTATTTGGTTCATCCAAATCAGTGCTACTCTGTCAGTTTGTGTATGTATTGAAATTGTTCAAGCACACGTCAAACAAGACAATGTTGAGTGAATTTAGAAGCATAATTCGAATGGATACGTGATAACCATTTTGATGGGGTTACTCACCTTTTCGAGGCACTTAAATCGGATGATCAGCTAATTTGGTTCAGCATTGTTTTCAAATCAGTTCGAATAGAAAAGGAATTGTGAATAAATTCAGTCAAATGAAACACGTGAATATTGTTAAAAGCGCTCAACCATCGAGAGCGTCGAGATTTGATAGGCGTCGTTGCATCAACAAAAAAACATGCATGTATTTACTTTCTACTTTATTTACAAAAGCAACACAATCGATTTGATGTCGTTGATTTGTTTATCGGCTGTTGATGAAAACGGTATGGTTCTATTTATTCTAGCAGTGTCTCTCTGTGTGTGTTCCTATTGCACTAAAACCCCTAAACGGTGTATGAGTCTTGAAAATATCGTGGGGGAGAGCATTGAAAACGACCAAAACTGTCATTCCAGCACACGATTTGTTTGGTTTTGTTGTTGTTGTTCTATGAGTAATTTCGTGCGCGTCACATTAGTCAATTGTACAGTCACTTGATTCTAATAAGAAAATGGCAAACGTTTTGACCATCAAAATTAAAGGGAAACCACTTTTAAATCGTTTGATTGAGCGTGTAAACATCGGATCAGCAAACTAAATTATCATCATTGACAGATGACACATTTCGGTCACAAATTTGTTTGCCATTTTTATATATGTTTTCACTTTTAGCCACACACACACACACTCTTTATTTGAGCAGAAACAAAATCACAACAAACGCATTCACTATGGATTCCCGGAATGGCAAAAAATATTCAGGTGAATTGAACAAGTGATGGGCAACGAAACAAAACAAAACAAAGGAAAATCCACCCGAAACCAAACAATTTTTCTTTCTTACTATAATTCACTTCATTGAGCCGAGAGATTGAGAGAGAGAGCAAGGAGATGACAAACGAATGAACGAAAATATAATAATAAAGAATTTGTCGCTCTCAAAATACTTGTTTGCATTTTTTTTTACTTCTGTCGTATGGGAGCGCAACCAGAACCACTGAGCGAGCAAAACACACATCTCGCACACTAGTCTATAGTAGCTATTTCATGACGCTCCAACACAATCGCACACGTGCAAATACCACATAACACACACAAAACGCAGCCACTGAACTGAAAACCCAAAACGTTGCCTCACTCACTTTACGCTAGCCGTTTTTGTTGTTGTTGCTTATTCAACGACAGAATGCTCGCGCACGTGTATAAGTGTGCGAATGAAACGCTTACCTATGTGCTGGTATAGAATGAATCGCACAAGCGATATGAATGAGCAAAGACATTTCATTTTGACCGCCACTGAAACAACATAACCATTGACAAACACAGAATGACAGAGACACATAATTTGCTTGATTTGATGCTTTGCCAGCGAAAAATTGACGGTTTTTTTTCTTTATTTAATCGATAGATTTTCTAATTCATTGATTATATCCATGTGCTTAAAATTATCGGGTTCATGTGTGAATTTCTTTAGTAACTCCAATTTCGTTAAAATATTCTGCGAGTAGTACAATTGCAGTTGATTGACCAGACATTGAGCCTCTTGTGCATTGATTACATTTGAATCGAATTCTCCACGCATCAAAACCGTTCCCAATTTCTCACTGAACTCGGTGTAATGAACAACACTCAAACATTCCGGGGCATTCTCTTTGTGGACCTGGTTTCGAATGAAGGAAGTAAAATTTTATTAGCTCATGTTTTGATTCTCATTTCATTTTCTCACGTTATTCCGGAATGAAACCCAGAAAATATTACCTGATAGCACAATAAAGGAGTGAAATGAACGGTATTGCTAGCAAATTGAAGCAGAAAGAATTCAAAACCTTGACTTCGGGGCAATGGCAACAGGAAAATTGGATGTTCCTTTGAGCGTTGTTCCAGCAATTTGTATGTTTCGGTTGGAATCGTTGCCACTAGCACATCTTTCTCTTTGTGATACTGTAGCCAAATGTCTTTGATTTCATCGGCCGTCTTGTCCTGCAGCAAGTCAAGTTTCATGATATCGTTCAACTTTTTGAATGGAACTTCGTCGGCCGATTTTCCATCAAGTGGCTTCTTTGGGTTCAACAATTCCGAGTAGTTCCTGAAAAAAAAGGCAAAAAATCAAACTAAGGGTCTTCACGAACGAGTTATGAAAAATGGTTAATTTACCGTTCTTTCTCCATCTTCTTCGGCGGACTCTTTTTCCCAACGCTTTCCAAACGGTTCAGAAATTCATCGGGCGATGTTTGTTGAAGAGCTGCAATTTTCGACGCATACTTCTCATAGTATGGGTTCTTTTTTTTCATCTCTTCAATCGCTTCCTCAGCACGTAATTTAGCTGACATACTGATACCTCTATGAATAAAAACACTTTGAACTCGAATTGCACGAAGTGAATTGATGCTTTGCCGAATAGCAATGGCCATTGACTTAATAAATTAAACAATTAAATAGAAAAAAAGGTTGGAAAAGGTTAATTTTTTCACTGCGGCAAAGACATCAGTACGTATGGAAAATTACGATTAAATAATCGCACACAAACACGCGAAAGAGAGCTCGTCTTCGTAAATGTCAAAAGTGACACTTCTTAGGTTTTTACATTGACTAACTACGACGCCCGTAGTTGGCTACGTTCGTAGTTCAGCAAATAGGTATGACTTTTTCAATAGAAAACAGATTGCATATAGACAATTGAATCATTGTGTGGCGTCATAAACGAAACTCTCTTATTCTAAGTGCTCACGGAAGAGTATTTATACTATTTTTTTTTCAAGTCGTTATGATCAAACATTAGAATACATTAAATTTATTAAGTTCAAATTGTTAGTTGAATTTGTGAGGAAAAAAAGTCAAAGAAAAAAAAACCCTTCGAAGGAAAAAAATGTTTTCATTTTTCAAAAAAGAAACAAAGAAATCGAGTCCATCGTCGTCACCCGAATCAGATAGCCCAATACCAAGCAATAACGATTTCGTGATGGTGAACGATCCACGGCAAGGAGGAGCAAATCCAAATCCAAATCAAGCCCCGTATCCAACGGCATATCCAACACCGTATCCATTGTATCCAAATTTTGGACAACATTTTGGTGGTCTACCAGCAATACCTCCAGTTTCACCGTCACGACCACCATTTCATCGCTCTGAAAGTATACATCCAACAAATTATGTACAAGATATACCATTCAAACTATCATCGGAACTATCGTTGGGCAATTCAGACGAAATTACACGCATTCAAGTGGAAGATATTTTATCATTAATCACATCACGAATGGGAGTCACACAAACGGACTACGACTTTACATTGGAACGAAGTCTTCTTCGTGAAGCTGACACAACCGACTCATCCGTTGCAGATGCACCTCCCGCTGATGAAGAACCCGAGGAAGAATAATAGTTCAATGGAGAAAAAAAACAAAACAAAATTTTGTGTTATGCCATACCTAAAACAAGTTTGCTCTTATTATTGTTAATGGAAACAAAATCCAAATTAATTATATCAATATCATAATTGTAATTTTCGCTACAATTTACACTTATCACAATAAAAAAAAACAAAATAAAGATAAAAAAAAGAATGAAAATGCACATGGTTCTTAATGGAATGTATCCTAAAAATGTGATTTTATTGAAATTTTTGTTGCTGTTCAATGTTGACAAAAGAAGCACCTTAACAAATGCAAAAGTATGATATATGTGTATCGATGAGAAAAAGGGAAAATATTCAACAAAATGCTTGATTTGATTTGAAATCTATCAACTATGTACAAGTTTATGCCGAAAAGAAAAAACAAAGAAATTTTCTCTGGATGTAAAACGAAGAATTCCGTAGAAAAAAATTGAAAAATGTTTGCAGACAGCACAAGCGAAACGTCTGTTTAATGTGGTGATTGCGGCGGTGCTTGACTAAAGTATGGGGCTGTGTTCCTAACCAATAACGTATGACAAACATCACAAACACGGGCTGGCTTATTGTTGCGACCAGACGCGACCGTTTTTGTTAGACATTTTTCACAGTAAATTGAACCACAGTGTCTGCAATGGTGCTAAAAAGAGACATTTATTAGGTAAGACTTGAATGATGCATTGAAATCATGGTATTTGATCGAAATCGAGTACTTTTCTTCGTGTAACAGTGAAATTTGCCTTGCAACTACGACAATCGTCCACATCCTCATCGTCTTGCCAACGCACCTGAGTGTCGGCTGCACGGATCTTTTCCAATTCCATCTAAAATGTTAACAAATAAATGGTATTAGTCACCATCCAAGATAAGATTACCGTCATTTATTGTCCAATTATCTCTTGAACTCACTTGCAGCGATTGTGATAAACGAACAAAATCCTTTTGAACAGCTTCGCTGTTGCCAAGCTCTTGTTGCAGCACCGATATTTTATTTTTAAACTCCATATTTTGTCGTTCGAGTTTCTCCTGTTCGATTTGGATTTTGGTCAAAAGTCATTTCATTAGTTTTGATAAATAGAAAAATATATTGCTAGAGATGAGAATGATGGCTTACATTTGATTCATTTAGTTCAATGAGTTGACCACGAAGCTCAGATGATTGCTTATTCCATTCGATTTCTTTCTTTTCGTACAAATCCTTTAGGTTTAATAGTTTTAACCGTTCACTCTCTTGAGCCTTTAGATGAGTGCTGCCAAAAGAAAAGAGTTAAATCAGTTTAATTCTCGACTAAATTCAAACTAAATGAAATCACATACTCTAACGATTTGATTCTTGCTGTAAAATCCCTATCACTGGCCTGTCGTTCTGCCCATGCTGTTTGCAGTTGATCTCGTAACACTTGTGCTTCATCTGAGAAGCTGTTACATTTACGCTGTGCAAATTCACAACCCACCCGTGCCTCGATCAAACTTTGATGGCTCTGCAATAGAATCTCTTGTAGTTCTTCGACGGTGTTGGGCAAGTCAATGAGTTGATTTTGCATTTCTTCGGAAGAAGCCATGTATCGTCCGGCCAGGAAATCATTGTCATCCTGTAGTGTGGTCTGGTGGCGATGTATCATTTCCCGTTCGTTGGCCATTTTTGAAAATTCCTCATTCACTTCCTCTTTGAACGCGGTGTAGTGTCGTTGCAGTGCGGCCATTTCCTTTTCATTGTAATCCACTTTTTTCGTCAATTGTTGCACTTGCTCATTGTACTTTTCGCGTTTTTCCTGCCATTTATTTTCCAAATCGTGTCTCAACGCCGCTTCCTTGGCCAATTCCTCGTTATAACGATCAATATCTTTGCGAAGTGTATCCTTTTCAGCCTGTACCGTTACCAATTGTGATTCATAGTTTTTACACAGCTGGCAATCGTGCGCATTCTGGGACTCTTCCGTTGTTTCCAATGTCACGGTTGCATCTGCTGTTTCGTGATTTTGGTTTGATTTGCTTTCATTCAACATGCCAACGAGGGCCGAGCTATGATTGATTTCACCAGCATTTGATATACCATCAGCTGAACGCAATTTTTGTATCTCCTCATCGGCCGTTCGAAGTTTTTCTTTGAGCGCATTGATTTCACCTTCCAACGGAATCACCAACGATCGCAATACTTCCGCATCTTCTTGTGCCTACAAAATTGTACCTCAATCGATTAATACACGTCTCTTTAATAAATACGTTCGAAACTAACTCCAAGTCACACTTTGAAGTCAAACAATTCGAACCGATAGCACAATTGTACATCAACAAAGAAGCTTTTTATGTGCCAAGTGTGTGTGTGTGTGTATTTCTCGAAATGTATCTACATGAAAACGATTTCAAGCGCAATATTGATATACACCAGAAAACCAAATAGTAACATTAAAAGCCCACATACACATAGAAAGCCACAAATATTGATGAGACACAAAAATGAATCAATAATAAAAGAAAACAACACAACGTTCATGTTTGCGATTACGTACATATTTTGAGTTTACCTTCCGCATGGAATCCTCAAGATTTTCATTGGTTGCCGACGAATCGCCGCCTAATTTGACATATTTCAATGTTTTCTTTACTTGACTTAAAACTGGTGCAAAACTTGGTGTGCTTGATTGTGATTCATGTGGCTGAAGATAAAACGTTATGCGAATACGAAAAGAAAGGAAAAAAAATATATATACAAAAAACTGCTCTAGATGTTCTAAGAGTGAGCTAACTAAGCGATGGGATTTTTGTCGGAATGAAGCCATCGGTGGCGCTATGCTACGTATACGAACCTGTGGTGAATGTGAGGGCTGTGAATGAATGAGTTCAGCTCGAAGACGTTCATTCTCGACAGCCAAACGATCGATCTCCGATTTCAAGAAGCTCGACTCTTCAACCGTTTCTGTGCAACAAAAATGAAATGAATTGAAACATTTTTGGTGAAAACTGATAATCAAATCGTACCATGCACTAAATGTTGCAGCGACGAAATTTCCTCTTGTGCTTTTCGATCTTGGTTTTGAATATCGGTTTCCCGTTTGTACTCGGCAACTACAACTTGACTTTTTGTCTCATTCAACTCCTTTCGCAGATCGTCTAATTGTTCGCTTAACCTTTTGCATTCAGCTAATTAAATTTGGAATTGAATGTTGTCAAATCAAACGAATAATAATGTAACTTAGTGATGTGCGACCAGCACATGGTAATGCATTAAATAAAGGAGTGAACAAAACGGAAAATCACCTTCTTTTTGCAAGAATAAATCTTTGAATTGGGCTCTTTGTACATTAAATTCCTCCCGTATGGTTTTGTTGTCCGCTTCAACGGTCGCCAATTTTTTCTGTAATTCTATTGAACAACCTAGATTAGCGTGGAATTGACACGATGACACGGTTTAAACAGCTGAAATTGAGTTGCTTACCAATTAAATTGATACCGTCCTGCGTTTGGGCTGTATCCATTTTCAAAGCGATTCCAACGAAAGAAGATGAAAAAAAACACCTCACAACACAAAAATGTCAGCTTTCAAATTCGTGCAAATGAACTTATGTCATAGGGAAATTTCATGATATTTTTTTTTATCACTGTATTACGTATTTCACTACAATCAATGTAAAATGAAACAATCGTAGATTTGTTTGACCGAAAAATGAACGAGAATCGCTTGAAAATGGTTGAGAAGAAAACAAGTTCGTAGAATTGATTCACCTTATAGAATCTGGAATGACATGGTTTTCTGTTGACAGTTTTCTATACGACTCAATTCAGTGTTGCCATGACGCAGTTTAGCGTAGTGAAGTGACAGCACCCAATCGAAATCAACATTTGTTCGTAGTACGGGACTTACCTATGACTCAGTGCAATGTCAGTGTTGAAGAAAAAACACATTTCAAACTATATTGCAACTGACTCTATTCTTACTAGAAATAAAAACTGGAAATATTCAAAGAAAAAAAACAACAACGCAGAGTATTTTTCAAATTGGAAAATGGAGATTTTATTACGCATACAAGAAAAATTGTACAAAAATCGTTTTTGTATCGCTTTCATTGTCTATTTTCTATTGGATTATTTCGACTATGTATTTTGTTTATCTAATATATGTTGATTTTAATGCTTCTAATCGAAATTTAAAAAAAAAATGGAATGATTTTGATAATTTTTTAACGCTTCTGAGTCCGGACGAGTTGATGAAAATGAAAATGTTTTAAAAAGCAGCAATCGTTGTAGTAGTAGTAGTAAGCAATAGAACGAAATTTGTAGCACATTCAAGCCTAATATTTCTTTCTCCATTTGTTTTGTTGGTTTCTTAAACGGTTACAATGGCGAGTATTTAAATGATATTGTTACGATTCCTTCATTATTATTGTGTATTGTCATTCTCGGTTTATTTCTATGTTAAAACAATAAGTATGTTTTTTCTTTTGCTATATTGTTGAATGTTGATGACTGAGCTGAACGGCCCACCATCCAGAACGGAATAATAGAGAACGTAAAATTATGAGGTTGCTCCATGATTTGCATATTCTCTTAACCAAATAAATTTTCATAGATCAATTAATTGTCTTTTTTTTCTTTTGTTTTTTGCACTACATGAAATGTAGAGCTATTAAATTTTTGTTGTTGTTCTTGTTGCAAATTCTCACTTTCGCATAGACAGTCTTTGGTTTGTTTGTATCAACAAAAAAGAAATTCACTTTTTTTTCTACACCTAGCAATAAAATAATCTCTACTGTGCGACGATGAACAAAGACTGAATATACATTGAATTGAGTTTCGATCTTTCTCGTTCCGACCGAATTATTGCTGATAAACTGTCATATTCAAAATTCGTTTACAAAATGTAAATGCATTTAACATTGATATTGTATACGTATGTGTTGTCGCCAAAATAAACAAAACCTTATTTTCTACGTTGGAAATTCCATTCATTCTGAATTCACTGCAACATGAAATAGATTTTCTATCACAAAAAACCAAAAATTAAGAGCAAATTCGACGAAAACAAAAAAGAACCGAGTTAATGTTGTATAATTCGTACATATATCTGGAAAAATGTCTGTTATTGTGATTGTACACATTTTGCATCCGCACAAAATTGCGCCATCTTTGATGAATACGTTGGAAAATCCTGTTTGGGATAGAAAGAGGAAACGAAATGACGGTTAACAATGTTTTGAATCGAGAACAGAGCTGGAAAAAACATTCTGTGTGTGCGCGCACGTAGCTAAGAACGCACACACAGTAGATGTGCGGCGCACACAGCACTTGTATTTTTGGTGTGCGTGCACATTTACATAGATTCCGCCGAAATTTGACAGTAGATCCGTTCTTAGTTACGTGCGCACACACACAGAGTGTTTTTTCCAGCTCTGATCGAGAAAGGAGGAAAAAAAATTCGCATTTAAATTCTTTGTTCGTCGTAAAGTTATGTTTTCCAGAGCTTCTACCCAACCTTTTTTGAAGAAAATTCACTGCTCAAAAAATCGCTTCCCTTTTTCCATTAAACTTACCTTGGCTGAACAAATGTCATGGATAAACTTTGACTCGGGCTCGTATCCAAGACTCACGAATACCGTTTCTAACACAGTTGCATTTACTTGACTCATGTTGAATAACACATTGATCAATTGATCTTGGTGCAAAACACCGTTCGGTGAGACCAGTAACTTAAGCAACGTGTCCATAAACAATGCCAATAGATTCGTTCTGAAAAATTGGCGATCGAATAATTTCCATCGTTCGTGCAGGCATTGTAATGATGCCAACACTTTTTGTGTGATATGTGGATCAATGATTTGAAACAATGCCTGTCCGTAAAAATTTAAAATGGCCAACAATTCATGAGCATGGTCTGGTTGATCTTCAACGGGTATCGGTTGATCGCTTGCACCGGGCGAAAAACCACGCAGTACTTGTGATTTATAAAAGTATTGCCAGCGACTTTGTAAAATGCTGTAACAAAGCAACGAAAAACATTATTATTTAAAGGTGCGGATTGCTTGTTCAACTGACAATAGTATTTGCTCATCAATTCTTACCCATCGAACAGGCTGTACAATGCGAAAGCAACATCACAAAAATCGCTCGGATTTCTACCTTGCATCAAAAGCGGGGACACGTAGTTCAACGTAAATTCTAATATCGATGGCAATAGATTTGCACCTAGGCTTCCAGGCTGTTGTACGACCAACAAAAGCATTTGAAGTAATTTCTCCACGGCTTTATATCGATTGGTCGTCAATTGTTCTCTGGAAAAATGAAGATTATTTTTTTTCAATGAATTGAACGTGAACAAAAGTAAATCGATTTTGTATCCCCCAATAAGTCTCTTACCTTGTGGTTGTTTTGAGGAAAATGTCCAACATCTCCGAGATGTACGGCGAACCCAATTGAATTTGAAGTGTTCGAATGACACTGAGTGCGAATTTGAGGACGCAACTGGCAATATCTTCGCTAACCGCCCCAAATTCTTTGTAGATTAAAATGGATTTTGTAATGGGTGGTCGGTATGCATTGACGAGCATATGTTTAACGGATGAACTGCTCTCGCGATGATGATCGATGATTTCGTTTAGAATGGGCAAAATCACGGTTATCACTTTAATTACTTTGTCATGTTGATTGTGCATCACCGAATGGTCCAAATTCAGTAGATTCTCTGACAAATTGTGCACGTATTCCTGTAGTAGTACTAAACGTCGATCGAATACTTGATCAGCGTTCGAGACATTGGGCCATGGCAATACAAAGCAATTCACAATTGCATTCCGTATGATTGTTGCCGCTTGTTGGTCTAAATACGTTAAATTGCTTCCCATTTGAATGAGTTGCTTGAATGATGGACAGTCGAGCATGTAGCGAGGCCGAATAACCGATGACACTGTGAGCAGAAATTGTGCTGCCGCCAATGTGATAATTTTTGGCTCTTGCAACAAATTCGATGGTGGCATTAGGATTTGTGCCACATTTTCGATGAGCGATTTGAGCTCGTGTTCACTTTGCAGGATTGGCGACCATGGCAACAAATTTCGAATGGAATTGAGAAGTTGCGCAAATATTTCCACAAAATTCGCACTGAGCGACGAATCGCCAAAATTTATCGAATGCAACTTATTCACGGCAATGAACTTGATCGCATATATAAGGCAAAACGTTATTTGTGATAGGTTCTTTGGGATGTCTTGCAAGCAACCTGCGGTTAGAAATGGATTTTTTTATTTGAAAAAAGTATTTTTTTTTTTATGTTGAAAAGAGTCAGACCTTTGGACTCAGAATCAACTTCGAAAAAAAGTGTTTTTCTTCAAAGGAATGACATACCTTGAAGAATCGGCGTCAATCGAGTCAACGTTTGACACAATGACGATAAATCGCGGAGAATGCAGTACACCAATTGGCTGCGTTGGTTGTCGTTGATAATTAAGGAACCATTGGAGTCGATCGATTTTTCTAGGGATTCAAAAATTTCGAATGGTTTACTCCATTCGCTGTAGACCTGTTCGAACACTTGGAGCGGTTTGACTTCAGCTACCAAAGCGATTGTTTCTATGCACTGGGTCAAGTAGTGTTGCCAATCTGTGAGCATCTGAAATTATTGCACGAAATTTAGAAATGACATTTTGTACCTATTGAACCTATTTAATTAAGTATGAATTCGTTAGTTTTTTGGCTTACATCATCGTCAAGGCTTTCATTATCCAATGTTTTCAATTCCTCTAAATCAACTCGAAATTGGATTTTTTGCAAAATTCCAGCGACCAATAAATGTATAGTTTGTGTGTATCTTCCGAATCCGCGTGGTGCCAAACCGCTGATGATTGGATGCCAGATTGTGAGTTTTTCGGTGAATGGAAGTGTTGCATAGCTTTCGAACGTAAAGGCATAGAGTGCGGCAATAAATTCGGGAAAAACGACTTCATCATCGATCCATCTAGACCATTGTTGTGCGATGAACAGTCGTAGCAATTCAGTTAATTTGTCCTGATACATTTCATTGGTCATAATCAGTCGTGGTTGCTTCAGAATACTTTTGATTCCGTTGGCAATGAGTTGGGGGAATGGCAACGTTTGTTGCCGATAAAAAAGTTCAGTGATTGCGCCCAACGCCGCTACTGAAACGTCACTGTCATGCTATCGATATAGGGAATAAAAATGTCATGTTTGTGAAATATTTTTGTGATGATTTTTGCTCAAGTAAATGACTCACCTCTTTCCAGTTAGCCAAATCGAAGAGATTTATGAGGAATTGTTCATGCAATAATTCATCGGTTGAGGTCCACGACAATAAATGCTGTACACAACTTAATAACTCTATAGCAGATAAACTGAAACAAAACGTTTGGTCAGATTTCAATTAGTTTTTGTTCATTTATTTATTTTTTCTGTTTTCAGTTTCAATCAACGCAAAGTGTTACACTCACCACAATCGATTATCCTTTGGCAGTGATTGAATCAGTTTACGATCCAGATAATTACTTGGCACCGTCGCTAAATCAATTCCGTTCAGACCGTATGCATGGATCACAAGAAATTGCGTAAGCAATTGAAATACATCGGGCATACACAAGCTCAAATTGGAATGAAAATATTTTTTACGATCTGACGTAATGTCATCACGTGTGCTAACTAATTCTTCGGATGTGCACCGAAGCAATGTAATTCCTAAGCAAAAATTCCTTTTTAACAATTCCACTAAATGACACATGTACGATGAATGCTCATCGGGAAATTCACGTTTGCCCATCAACGCAATCAGTTGGGCGAGTTTTTCGCGTTGAATGCGTGACACAGTGGCCACATTTAGATTGGCATAATTATTCCATAGTGTATCTCGCAATCGCATTCGATCGCTTTCATCGAGATATTTCCATTTTCGTACGATGGCCGCTTCAACGGTTGATGCACTAAAAAACCAAAAGAACTGATGGCTATTCGTAGGGTTGCTCAGTTGGAACAAACACTGTGGCCACGAACGTAGATCATTTTGAAATTCAACTAGTTGTTTTTCGATTTCATGTTTGCGAGCGTTGCTCGTGCTCGGATAATTAAATTCGTTCAGCAAACCTCCAATAGCCGACAATGGAATCGAAGTTACCTATGGATTCAATCGAACGTTGTACAATTAATCGAATGACAGTTTACCAAATAAAGGGGAAATGTGTATGTGTGACATTATATGGGCAATAGAAATGAATTGAATCGCATTGAATGAGTCATTTCATGATTTCGTACGCAATATTGAAAAAAAAAGTCAACACAATAACTTGCATTCAGAACCTTGATATTGTCAAACAAAACATTTGTCGCCATGAAACGAGATCAGCAAACGATTTCGATTGATGCGATTTCGTTTTGGCTTTTCTATTTGAGAGATGTGTATGTGGTTCTTTTTTTGCGATTGAATAGCCCAATACTCACCATTATTGGTTGTTCAAATGTGTGGTTCACTGTATTTTCAACTGGATTTTGATTTTGTTATCGTAAACATGAACACGATTATTACACTAAATACTTAAAACAACGACGGATGCGAGATTATTCCGTTGTGCAGCAAAAAAAATTAAGTCAAATTTCAATTCAATTTCATACAATGAAAGCTACAGCAGAGTCGTACGAGAATCCACACACAAAAAAAAATTATGTTTTGACACACATAAAGAGAGAAAAATTGACAAGACGAAAAATGAATTCGACATGCACGATACGATTTTTGATTGTGCAAGTGAGATGGGTCGCGCATGTGTTTGTAAACCATTCCCATACCACTTCTCCGTTCGCTCCGTGGGTAATTCGCGCCTGTGTTTGTGTCATTCATGCTATTTACGCATTTTCTGCAAGTGAATTGACTAATTCAATTTCATTTGTCAAGCGGATGTATTCAATGCGACTACGGAGTGGATGCGTTCGCATGTATTTGAATATGATGTTTTTGTACATTTGAGAAAAAAAAACTTATTTTGTGGCAGGAAAAAATAATTTGGAATGAAGACTTTTGAAATAAAATATTTCTTTTGAAATTTTATTTGAAAATTGATTAAAAAAAGATCAAAAAAATTCATTTAGTTCACAACAACAGTCAGTTTTCCATTTATTCACACCAGAGTGTTATTACATTTACTTCGCTTGCGAATGGATGCGTTCAATGCCTTTGTATTGAATATTCTGTTCGTATCTAATTCAAAACATATAAACATCTTATTGGATACACAAAATCGTTTCGATAAATAAAATTGGCCGAAAAAAAAAATCATCATCGATTTTACCAATTTTCAATCAATTTTGAAACTTTTAATGTCATCTCTTCTCATTTATGACACAATGGTAAAACGATGCTTTATCAATTTCAAACCAGTTTTAAATCGTGTGCCCGTTCAATCATGTATCGATGTGATAATGTATGTTCGGCTCTTCATTATCTGTTAAACGGTATTTTTTCAGCAATTTGCACGGACTCATTCGCATTGTCGCATTGTTTGTCACTCCGTTCACATCAAAGTATTTGGCTACGCTATTCAAAATTCGTTAACGTATTTCTATACAAATCCAAACCGTGTCATTTTTTTTCTTCATTTATTTATTTGCAAAGTAAATCGTCGATTTGTTGAGCATTGTTTTCGGATTGAACAAAATAATTATTTTCGTCGAAAGTTTGTGAACGAAAAGTCATCGAATCATGGAGCATTTGCGTTATTTGGAAAGTCAATTTCTAAACGAGGATTTCGCCGATATTCTCTTCATCATCAACGCAAATGACGATCAAACAGTAAAAATACCCTCGCACAAAGTGATTTTAGCGGCAGGTAGTCATCCGCTTGGACAGCGTTTCGCCAAAAACATCGATCTGAAGAAAATCGAAATAGTGAATTCAACGCCAGCCGCATTTAAGGAATTTTTGTTCACCTTTTATTCGCCGTATCCGGAAAAGAATTTCACCATTGCTAACGCGCACACAGTATTGACATTGGGTAAAACATTCGAAGTGGTACATTGCATCAAGGCTTGCGAACGTTTTTTGTTGAAAAATTTGCCGATGGAACAATTGTGTTTCGGCTATTTGTTGGCTACGGAATATTCGCTGTTTGACCTAAAATCGTATTGCATCAAGCAGATCAACGAAATGAAGCGCAATGTCTTTGTGTCGTGCTCATTTTTGGCATGCAATCAAGATGTTTTGTGTGACATTCTGGAGAATTTAACGGTTAATCAACGCGATGACATCGAAATGATTTGGAATGCGTGCATGACATGGGCCCAGAATCAGTGTGCTCTACAGTCGATCGATGCATCCAATCTGACGAATTGGCGTGAGGTATTCGGCAAATCGATCAACCAAATTGAAGCAATTCTATCGAAAGATGGTGAATATTTCAGCCAAATCATGGCACATTACAAGGGACTGTTCGAGAATGATGAGAATCAAAATGAACAATCATGGGCAACATGCAATGCAACCGTTCGCCAAAACATGACTCAATCCATTTCGGACTTTGACGAAAGCAGCCAAAGCGAAGAATTGGAATTAGCCCGTTTCCGTGAAACTATTTTATCACCGCAAACGTGTTCGGCCAACGTACCAATGCTGATCGAACTTCAGTCCACAAAACGGATTGCATTGAATGGCATCGCATTTACAACGGTATCGGGACCACCGAAGGGAAAACTCACCATTGGTATACGATCTGATAACGGTGTAACTGATCTTATCGAACAACTAATCAGCTCGAAGCCAAAGCGTACCGAACCGAAGAACTTTGTATCTTTAGAAAACGTCGTTTTGGAACCAAACAAAGTCTACATCATCACCGTTGAACTGTCGAAAGATATTGCCTATCGTCCAAGCCGTCGCATCGAATGCACATATCAAGCCAACGATTGGGCTGTGTTCTTCAAATCCGATCCACGCCGTGACATTTTCTCACACTTTTTCTTCAGCGAACATTTTTAAGTAACGTATTTGTTATGAACTTTCCCGTCGAAAACAGTAAATAATTTAAGTATGAATAAGTATTGAACGAAACTTTCAATTATCGCATGACTCGAAAAAAAACGATGATTTTTTTTTTACTGATAAGCTTGAAATAGTTATTATCAAATGAATTCATGAATTCTAAATATTTTGAATCGCTGGTTCGCATAATAGTTGAGTATTTTAAAAGTTTTTTTTCATTGATTTCTAAACAAACTCGGAAGATATAAGAAGATATTGATTTATGTACATTTTTGATATAATCATCATCTAAAATAAAGTTGTTCTTATATGAAAAATTGTTTGTTTTTTTTTGAAAGAAAAGAAGAAGACTCATTTTGGTTTATTTAGGTGACATAATCAAGTCAAGCGAGGTATGGAAAATGGTAAGTCTGCTACGGACAATGTTTTCTGATTCAAGCTTACCTTCTTTTTCTCGTCTAAATGGTTACATTGCCTGATGAATCGCTATAATAACAGGGTCGAATTACTTTGCTTTGTTCCCTATCTTTGTGGCGCAAGCTATTTTTCCAACAAAAATTCAGCAAACCTCCCAGTGGTTTGGTAAACATCAGAATTTGTTAAACATCGGCCTTGAATATGTTGATATGTTGAATATCCAATATCTTACATACTCATTTCAACCATTGTTTTGAAATGTTGACAAAATCAATGAATTGAGTCTAGTCAACAGCAGAATGTCTGCATTAAATGATGAACTTATATCGGAGGAAGAAAAATGTATCGTTGGTTCGAAGTTTGAGCCATCCGTAAACAAAGGGATCTAAATTCAGTATTTTTGATCTTTCCATGGCGAATTGAGTTCTCTTTCTTTAAAGAAATTTAGAAATGTAATGAGCCGTGAATAAAATTACCAAATTTGTGTTAGAATATTTGGTAGTTCATTTTTATTTGTATGATACTTAAAAAGTTATTGATTACAATCAAAGAAAAATTCGTTTTACGATAGTTGCCATATATGCATATGAAAAGTCCATATAAATCTTTACAGAAAATAAATACACTCTCTGAAATTCGTCAACGACATTTTTATACTCCAAAGTGCTTTAAAATAATATTCGTCTTCATCGAGAAAATATATATTATATAACCGTTTTGTGTTCTGTTTCGCAACGAGAACATACATATTTTGAAATGCATACGCGGATTATTCATCAATCGGATTGGTGATGTATTAACATCTTCTTTCTTGTTGAGCTGACAGAAATGTGAACGAACTGTTTGCGTTCGTTGTTTGTTCTCTCCCAGAAGTTGAAATTGTGACAGTCTTTGTCGAACGGTTGACGTTTGCAAACGTTCCAAAGTGCTCGCAGAAGATGTATTTGGTCGATGCTTTGACAAGATCGATTTCAGCGGATGCCAGTACAATCGGTCGTTGTTTCGACGTGTGCTGGCCCAAATATGAACAATTGATTGAGGAACTCTATCTCGATTCACATCAAACGGAGCGCAGTTAATTTTTCTTGCAATCAAACCACACACTCTATAGAGTATTTCGATTTTTAAAAAAATGAATATATGATATCTAAATTGGTCAATTGGTCGCTCTTGCGTACTATGTGCTCTAAAACAAAAATTTATGCTAAATATTCAATTCATCAAAAATATGTCCAACAATGTCCATAAAGTCTATATAAGTTGGAATCGATATGCATTGCATTTCTAAACTATAAAATCCAAATCGAAGTCAATCGAAATTTTTGAACAAAAAATAAAACAATAAATAACGTGATCGAAATTTCTTAAGCGAGGCTTTTCGATGTCTTTGTGTTTGTTTGTGTATGGGTGTGTGTTGTTAATGCGTTCCGCGAGTATTTTTGAATTCTTGCGTTTGCGTTGTACTTCGTAGCACTTCCATCCAGCGATTGTATGTGTGTTCACTGTCAGCGCGGAAAAAGTACACGTGATTTTTGAACGATAGCTTGAACACGAACTCTTTTTGGATAGTATCTTGGAAACTGGGCGGGCCCACGGAATATCTAATGAATGAAAACGAAAGAGAAAATCAGTATCAAAACACTTTCCTTTTATAGATATTCAAGTGAGGTGTAACTTACCCCAGCAATGGCAGGCTGGCCAGTGCAAATTCATCTTGATAATTCTTGTAGAAAAACAAGCAGAACGATGTGAATACGACCCATAGCTTTTGCCAGCCCGAGCTGTTCTTGAACTTCCTCAGTAAATAGCCAGACAACTGATTCTCGGATGAAACGATAAAATCTCTCAAGCTAACCGTTGCACCGCGATGCCAACACACGTGAATGGCATTATTGCTTCGCACAGCTGATGCTGTCGATCCAGTCGGTGATTTGTTCGATTGTGCACATGTATCTAAGCCCTCCTCAGATGAACCTATAGAGAGAAAAATAACATGAATTGATATTCAAACGAGAATGAACTATTGAATCGGATTCCGAATTGATTGAATTTCTGTGTTCTTTTTAAAACTTACTGCAATTCTTCAATGTTCCCAGATTGAGTTGAACATGTGGCTTTGACTTGATTTCAGCTGATGCCTTGGATAGCTCGGCCAGCCATAAAGTTTTCTCGGCGGTTGTTCCGGCGCTGACTGTGATTGCCTTTTGTCCGCCATAGATGATGAATGCGTTGTGCTCCGCATTCTCGGTGATAAGTGATCGAAGCGCAACATGGCCGAGCATTTTGAACTGTTGAGTGGCTGGCGATTTGCTGCCGTACAATAGTACATCCGAAAACTGTAAAACAAATTTAATGATCCGTTCAGTTAAAACACATTTCATGATGTGTAGACTCTAAGTAACATCATAAGGAAGAGTTTTTTTTATGTTTCTTTCACATTTTCACTCACCAAAAAGAAAATGCGTTGTTGCAAACCGCGTTTGGAATGTTTCAAAAGGCATCCTTGCCGAATAAACACACGACTGTTATTGGCTAGCAGTGCAAAACCGCCCAAATCTCGTTGTAATTCGCATAATAACTGGAAATTTTCTGAATCTTCCAGAATTTGTCGTACATTTTCAGTTGTTCGTGATATCATGACCAATGCACCTTGACAGTCGGCATGACACGGATGATCTTCCGGATAAAATTCCAGTAATTCTGACGAAGAAATGAAATTGTTAGTTTGAATTTTGACGACAGAAGCTTACTGTTAACAATTGGCTATGTGTGAATAACATGGTGCTCGTCTAATCGACACTCACTTTCCAAAATCAGTTGATAGTGCAGCAAACGATGCAATGGCTTCAGTACGAGCGTTCCAATCGGAACGTAGCATATTTTCTGCTGTTCGAATTCGCGATAAATCTGTTGGAAAGGTTCATCGGTTTCATATAGATCATTGAGGCGTTCCAAAAATTCTCGATGACTCTCTAAATACTCTTCGTATACTGGCAGCACTACCATGCTTTTTAGCATAATGTCGCCGATGTGATGGTTTTCAGTCATATTCCGATTCTCCCAGAGTAGGATGCGATGTTCAAGATCGCGCAAAAATACACCATGATGTTGGGTCATTGATTCGATTAGCTGAAACAGTGGCTGTAGCGATTCAACATTTTCGGGCGGTAGTTCATCTTGAAACCATGTATTCAAAATGTCTAAATCCTTTTTATATGTTCGTTCAGTCATTAAAATTTCTCTTGCCAAGAAATATGACTTTTCGTTGGGTGAAAGCTAAGGAAGAGAAGAAACGAATGAGTATTAAAAAAACGATTCCCATTTGAAACCATCTAAAGTACGATTTGGAATCTAAAACATGAATTTTAATCTAAAGATTGAATTACCCTTCTCTTTGATGAATCGCTGCCGTCGCGTGAGTCTAACGTTGAATGGCCATTCATTGGATACAAATCGTTGCTGACGACATTTCCATTGCTTTCGGGTTGATTGTTGATTCGAATCTCAGCCTGAACCACATCATAAACACCACCTTCTGATCGTGACAGTGACGATGATTTGTCGGATCCCATGCTCAAATCATATCGATGATGCGGTGATGTCAATTCACCTTGCCGATTCAATGACACATTTCCATTGATGCCATAATTACTGCCATCTTTAAAATAAAAATTGCAATTAATTTTGTTTCCTTCGGATAACAACTATAAAACATCTTTATTTTAAATTGAATAAAGAAGTAAACAAGTTCAAATTATGAATGCTACATATTTAAATCCATGCTGAAATGCTTTTTTCCTGGAGTTGAAGCATCAAAAAGGAAATGGAATATACAATTGATTGCAAGTGTAAGTTTATGTACAAAACGTAAGGAAATAATATTCGAAAACTTCCTTACTTACTCAATGGCCCTAGCAAATGAAAATTGATATTTAATTTTTTTCTAGTTTTTAATTAAAATTATATGAAAACTTTTCATGCATTTAGATCAGGAAATTCGAGAAAAAATCAGAATTCAATTTGTATGCGAAATGATGAAAAAAGTCAGCGATTTTTTTTGTTGTTTGTGGAATAAATTTTTCTAATATAGTTTTATTTATTTGCTTAGTTCATGGTTTTTTTTTGCTGCGTACATAAATTCACTTGGAGAGCATTTTGGTGCTCTTCTGTTCATCAAACCATTTGAAGTTAATTATTTGATTGTGTGTGAGTTTTTATTTAATTTTTTTGTTTAAATATATTTCAATTGAGAATAATAGTGCAATTTGGAAATGAAATACAGTGAAACGTAGTTTTATGTGGCACATTTATTTCAGTCGATGTTAATGTCAGTTTCACTTGGTTTTTCAGACACAATCCAAAATATGCTACAGTTTTACTCCGTGATTGATTTTTTGCCGAAAGTGTTTTGATTGCATTTTTGACTCTATTGAAATGCTATTGTGTGAGTTGGGTGAATTTGACGAATAACTTTTGTGTGTGTGTGTGGTAATAAGGGAATTTTTCATTGATTTCTTTAGTGTCTGTGTGTGTCAAGATCACGAATTAAATTATTATTTGAAGAAATATTTTGATTTTTCTTTTCGTATTAAGTGATGCATTTGAAAATGCCATTAGTAAGTAGATTTGCCGCATGGAGTGCAGACTGCAGAATCTCATGAACCACAGAAGAATTTCTTTTTGTTATCGATTTCAATAAATAACTTTCTCATATTATTTTAAATAATTTCTTTTTGTTCTTCAAACAAATATATTCAAATCCTATTTAAATCTAGTACAATAATCTCATTCCCAAAAATTGTGGTTTAGATTCTTAGATTTCTTGTTCTTCTTTATAATTTTTATTTTGTCACATTTGATAAATTTTGTTCAGGTTCAGATGATTTTATCCCATTTTGCTAAAAAGGGTAAAATAAGGAAGAAAAAAAAAGAAAAAGATTTCGCTAGTCGCTTAAAAACTATATCATCAGGAGATAGAAATATGAAACGTAAATCGATTTAAAACGAATCATCTTACGGGAAAGACGCACAACATTTACTTGTTTTGGGTTTTGTTTTGTTTAATGTTTAGATTTAAATGCAAATAGTTGTATTTTGTTAATTTTCTGTCTCAATATTTAAATATACATAACACATAAAAACCTTTAAAAACGTAACGATTTTCTCTAACAGACACTCAATATTCATTTTTCTTTGATTCGATTTGTTTTTCTGCCATTTAACACAATGAGTACATTTGTTTTGGTTTTCTTTTTCGATTTGTTTGTAGGTTGGAACAATCGATAATCTTTTTCTTTTCTTTTTGCTACATTCATTTCGTAACATGTCACAATTTCACCGATTCGCTAAAAATTGTAATTGAATACCAATAAAATTGAGCATCGAAATACTATGGGTTTGTTGAATTGAATGGATTTTTAGAACAACTAGATATTTTTTTTGTTGCTTGTTGTTGTTGTTGTGGTTAATTTCTTTTATCTTGGTTCAAGTGTTAAATTGTTTCAATATAAAGAGTTCCAAACGAGTGAATCCTTAGAAAATATTTCAAATGAAAATCTCTGAATTGTGTGTTTAAAGCTATTAGAAAACAAATATTTTCATTTATATATTTTTTGTGTTCCTGTTATTTTTTTATCATTTAGGGCCATTTTTGTCGTCTCATTTTATTGGTAATACCACTCTTTTCCTCCTCTGTTTTCCACTATATTTTGGCACAATTTCCGTTGACGATTATTACATATATATATAAATGACATTCTCCAAATATACTTTTGTTTATACTGTTTCATTTCGTGTAGCTACCAAAGGTTATCTTTGGGAATCGAATAATAATTTGATTTGACCTTTGAAAATAATATTTGATTCAGAGGCCATTCTTTCTTTTTTTTTCTCATTGTTCTCCACATGAGATTGCGTTTTAATTTCGTGTTTCGCGATAGGTGTATGAACAAAAGAAATTTTACACAAAACGAGTATGTGTGTAAGTCGCGGGTATGACTCTACGGGTGCATCATTGATTTTGATTTAAAATGTGTCGTTTTCATTAGTAAAGGTCGATTTAAAAACAAATGAATCGGAATTGGTTAGAAAATCACAGTATTGGTTTACATTTAGTTCTCTTTTTTTTGGCACATAATGCTTTTGTGCTCGCACTTGGAATAAATGAATGTAAGAATCTCAAAGCCAAAACGCACACACACACGATTGAAATTTCGTGCATGAATACGAAAAAATTGCACTAACTTAATTTTGATTACCGTCGTCATAATTTACTACAATTCTTCTTTTTTTGATTAATCGTTTTTTTTTCTCTTCATTTCGTGATTCTTCTATAAAACCAAAAGTAAAATCCAATGGCATATATTAAATGAAATGAGACTTAGTTTGGATATATAGGTTGATCGCGATAGGGAGTTTACTGCTCGTCACTGAGTTCCGAATCGCCGCCGCCCATGAATGTGGTTGGTGGCGGTACGACGGTTTCATTTAAATCGAAAAATTCCGAATTTTCCGCATCGGATCCGCAATCGGGGATATTCTGTAGAGTTTCATACTCAATATTCGATAAACGTGTATCGTAATCTCTACGCACCATCGTTTTTGTCATTGTCGACGACAATTGACAACTACTTTCTTCGCTTGAATAGTAAATGTTATCCGAAATGCTTGACTGTGTTTCGGATTTTGGTTCGTCGTGTTGTGAATAGTTTTGTGTTCGAATGCTTGTTTTGGGCGGTGTATCGCATTCATATCCCGACCCAGCATTCATTGAATCTTCGCGTTTAACGGGTCGTTTTTTCTGTCGTGCTGGTTTTTCGGGCGGTTGTGAGCCACTTGATTGACTGAGCACCGGTTTCGGTGCGATTGATGGTTTGGCAGCTACTTGTGGTTTATAAAGTGGATTTGTGATGTGACTCAAGCGATCATATTTGGGAAAGCCCATTTCGTCGACGAGATCATGTGACATATCAAGACTTTCGAATTTCGACGTTGATGGATACGGTGCCGAGTGCCTTGACTCAATATCCGTATACTCATCATAGTAATCATCATCCACTTCTTCGTAGTATTCATGCGAATAGGTTTGTTCTTTGGACAAGTCGGAACTTTCGGCTGAACTTTCCTGTTCAATGACCGGCGATGTTGGTGTTTTAATTCGTTTAACATTGGCGATTTGTCGCTTTTTGCGCATGCCTCTCGTACGCAATTTGGGATCTTGTTGTCGGAAATCGACCGAACTATCGGTTTCATTGCCTGAAGATGGGCTCTTAAAGCGTGTCATCGATGTTCTACGTGGTGGTTTTTGAATGACTTGAATCGGAGGCGATTCAGAGCTCAAACTACTCGACAGATACGGTGAACATTTGACTAATTTTTCAGGCCGTGTAGGCATCGGAGACGAATTTTCCGTGCTTGTCTCACCGCTCAACTGCGATGTAACGGTGGTGGTGGACGAGCTTTGGCCACCTTCTTCTTCGATAGTTTGCGAGCATTCCGCTTGAATCGGGGGAAGGGAAAGCATGTGCTCATGGAATGAATTATTTTGGCGAACCTTCAACGATGTTTTGTATTCACGAATTTGACTCTTCGACAAAGTTTTATCATCGTAACTGTGATGTTTAATTAGCGGTTTATCAAATGGGCTCATTCGATCTTGTGTTTCGTCCACTTCACCCTTCACTTCAATTTCTTCGATCGAATCGAGAGTTGTAGGTGCTCTCGAAGTTTTCGGCTGTGGGAACTCTTGACTTTGATACCGTTCCGTTAACTTTTCGTCGTGTCCGTACAATTTTTCGATGAATTGTTCACTTTCTGACACGATGTCCTGGCTTTGATAGCGTTTCGACATGAGTTCAAGCGACCGCCGTTTACCGGCAACGCTCGGAAGCGGAGACGATTCTTCAAACGTTCCGATGAATTGTGGTTTCTTCTCTTGCATGTCAACAATTCGCGGTGGTATTTTAACGGGGCGTTCGGTCGATTTCGGTGGAGATTTTTTACCTTCATCCTCTTTTGGTGGCGACGAAAGATGCTGTTTCAATTGCACATAATCGATGCCACCGACCGATTTCAACGGTAGGGATCGAATTGAGTCGCCGTTGCTTTTGAGCGTGCTGGAATTACTGTCGCTAGTCGAAGCCATTTTCGTTGAATCAAGTTGTGAGATTGTGGCAACAAGCGTTTTACTACTGCTCGTCGACCATTCAGTGATGCTCTGAGCAATTTCGGTTAAGGTCATTGTAGTATCATCACTTTTCGGTGTGCCCGAAATGGATTCGGTCAATTTATCAGTGTCTGAACTAGAGAAGAATTGTTCATACTTGATTGGATCATTACCATTGCTACCACCACTGATGCCTCTTTTCAATTTACTGCTTGAAAAACTGCCGACACTCTTCTCATCCAGGCTCTCGGTGGATTTGTTGAGCGAACTCATGCTCGATTTGGTGTGATTAGATTTCGATTCACTTTTGATGCCACCCGAGTGATTTGAAACGGCTGAAAGACTATCGGAACCTGATAAGTTGGCATATTGACGCACGGTATTGGTGCCGGTGCTCCATTCGGAAATGCTCAAACCGATTGAAGTGTCTTCGGAATGTGAGCTGTGTGTGCATTTAATGGGTTTACCCATGCGAACCGTTCCATCCAAATCGGTACCAAACGAACTGGTCTCCTCTTCCGAATGACTTGAATGGCTACATTTTTTGTTTGAGCTACTGCTGCTCTTTGTCAGCGTTTGGTCAACGGTTGTTGTATCAAGATTGCTACTGCGACGTCGAACGGTAATGTCATCGCGATCGAAAGTACTTGACAGAATATCGTCGTTTGAAGTGTCCGAGTTGTTTGAACTACGCGAAATTTTGCGATTGAAATACTCGGCGAATTTGACGTCATCGGGAGAAGCAATCGGTTGAACAGTGCCTGGACTGAATACGTCATCGACAACGAATGGTTCGTCATCAAAGCCCAACACTTCGCTTTGTGGTGGAGACGAACGCGTCGGTTGCGAAACAATGACTTTATTAGTATCTGGCTGATCTTTAATCAAACCCACATTGTGTTTGTGACCTTTGCAACATGTATTTGCTGGTCGTAAGCATGAAGCACTGCTCAAACAACTCTTCGGTTCATAGGGATCAACAAAGCATTTGCTTTCTTCTGCCGGAGGTGGCGGGGATTTTGGTAAATAAGAAGTGCTTTCGACCGGTGACATGGGCAATTTTTTCTGCCCAATAATTGGGCTAATGATTGGAGTTTCGATTGTTTTATCAGTTTGTGAAGTGTCTTTGGAAATGTCAGCCAATTGGCTGCTAACATCATCCTCATTTTCGCTTTCGTTTTGATGTGCCGTAGTTGGTGTTACGGATGTATCTGTGAACGAGTCAACCATTACTTGTGCCGCAATTTCGGGTACGTCAACGAAAAATGTCGACACCTCTTCAACAATTGGTGTTTCTAATTCGGCACTGTCGGGTGGCGATGGCCAATTTTCAGAATCATGCGATTGAATTGAAGTCGACCGTTGCCAACAGAAAGTTTTTGGCAAAATGCGTTGTTGAATCGGTTGATCTACCGTTCGAATGTGGGTTTCAATGGATAGCTCCTGCTGTAATGGTACACTATCGTCATAGGGAATGTCAGGGAGTGGAAAATCTTCGGAATCTTGACTGCCTGCATTTGACAGACAGTCTAGCGTGCGTTTATCGGTTTGATTAGGAAAATTTGAATGGATCAAGCCTCTCTTCGAAGCGCATGCACGTGCAGCACCTTCTTCAACATTTGTTATGCAGAAGCGGCCTGTTTTCACACCGGCCGCTTCATCCATGCCATAAATGTCGGCCAGGCGTTCACTGAGCTGTGAATCGCATGGAATTTCCGGCATTTCAGCCGATGTACGCCGATCGCCGTCCGAAATATAAGCGAAATTGGTGATACTACGCGAATCAGAACTGATACTTGCTTGATGATCACTCGAAATGATCGAACATTCCTCGTGAATGCTTTCGGCGTCATTTTGACTTAATTCACCGCTGCGTATCTCTTCTTCACAACTTGATTTCTCCGAAGCCGTGCTTCGTTCCGAAATGCGCGACAATGTTCGGCTCAGCGTAAAATTCGAATTATATGGAATCGCATCGTTTGGACTGACATAATTCGGTCCGGGATCAGTGATTTCATCTTGTATGCTTGAATCACTTTCTTTTTGTTCATCCAAATTACGTTTATCGTTGCTACTGCTCCGGCCATCGTCTTCCATTGCAATCCAATCGTCCAAACTGGAACTGCCTGAACTTTCAACATTGAACCCTTTAAAAGTCGATTGTTGCTCTTTTTGCTGCAAAAGACCACGTCGTTGAGCAGCTCCCACTGAGCCGCTGCTACTTTCAGTTTCAAATGAACTCTTCGATTCAACGCTCAACGAACCTTTTGACTCGGCGCTCGATTTCGATTCCTGCGAACTACGTTGGTCACTATCACTGCCTTTTGGCTGTGGACTGGGCGACTTCGCTTTCTTTGAACTTTCACCTTTCTCGTCGAGACGATGCATTTTCTTATGCACCGAGGCAATTTCTTGTTCTGGTGCCATTTTTTTCGATTTCTTCTTTTTGCCATGCGAATCGGAACTACCACTCGAATCGCTGCGTGCGAGTAACTTTGAAATGCGTTCTTCAATCGCATCTTGTTCGCAACTCGAGCCCAAATCAATGGGGCTTTGCTTCTCAAGAGTGGGCGTTTTACCATGGATCTCGTCTTTTGCATCAAATTCCTCTTGTTTCAGTTTCAAAAGCATGTGTTCACGTAACTCCGAGCATTTCGTTTCGTCCGATGCATCGATTGGCTGTGAAATGCCAAGTGGCCGAGAAATCGAACAACTCACACTCGATTCATCGTCCAATGACGCTCGATTTATTTGTAAATTATTTGCCGATGCATCTCTCGGCTTAATCTCTTTGTCCATGGACGATGTGTCAGAGCTACGCGAACGATCGGTACTCTGTTTGGAAAAGCTTCGTTTGTCTGAGACCAATGTAACATCTGGTTGCATTTGTTTTGACATAACATTTTCAGGCGTTGGCGTTACGTTGCCCGATTCATTTGCTTGCATGAGCTCATCATTGTTTACCTCTTCCAGTGTGCTTTGTTTAACAGTTGCAATGTTCGTGGGTGTATTATCGGAGATATCAGTGCCAATGAACTCTTCGCATTCAATAGTTACCCACGATGAACCAGACTCATCACTTTTGCTGCGTTCATAGCTCAATTTCGATTGAATGCGAACCGGTGGAATTGGATGCTCATCCCCAGCTACCTCAGCATAGTCTGGTTCTTCTTCGATCGATGGCTCTTCGCATTCAATGGTTGGAATACGATGTTGCCACTGTGGCACGACCGCATCATCTTCCAAACCTTCGTCTGGTTTTATTTCACTCACCCAAGTCAACGACTCTTCCTCACTGTTTGCATGCTCCAATTTCTCTACGACCATTTGCGTTTCTTTATTGGTTTTATCTTCCGATGGCAACGATTGCCGTTTCAATAATTCTAATTTTCGTCTTTCGGTTATCACCGCTTGCATATCCATTTCTTCGATCGGAATTGGCTCTGGTCTTACTGGCGGTTTAGTAACAGTTTTCTTCGGTGGAAGTGTCAGTTTTTTCTCCGTAGCTGGCGTTGATGTGACTGAATCGATCAAGTCAAATGTACGATCGAGGCTTCTAGTTTTAATTTCAATATCGAGGAATTGAGGCGGTGGATGAGCCATTTTACCCTTTTCCAAAGACAGCGATTTTTCGTCAATTCGTTTGTGAACGACTGTTCCTTCGATCTTCTGCTTGGCAAGTGCTTTTTCTTTATCCTTATCTTCGGCGTTATCTGAGCGATCCGATTCATCCATTGATTTATTACGATCTTCGAAGCTACGGTTTGCCTTTTCGATTTTCTCTTGGCTTCGATTTTCATCAAAACTTCGACTAAATTTTACCAACGAACAATCGAGCTTCTTCGGTGATTTTGTGATTAGCACATGATCTTTGGCCTTACTCCGAATTTCAGTGTCAATGATAATGTTATCACCGTCAGTCGTTACGGAGATTTTGTCTTCAGGTGGCTGGGGAAATGCCGGCAGAATGGTTTTGTCGGGGCTCAAAAGTGTGGGTATCGTTTGTTTTACAGCCGATTCATACAGTTTTTGTTGACGCTCTTTGCGTTTGGCTGCATCCAATTCGGACTCTTCTTGCGAACGACTCTTCTCTTTGCTCAATCGCCGTGGTGTCAAATCTTTATCGAATGATCGAGGCCTTTCTTTTGAATCGCTTCGTTTCGAATCATCTTTTAATTTGCGTGGATCTTGTGGAAGAAGCAATTTTTCCTTAGATTTTTTGGAAACATGCTTTTTCAATCCACCACGACCAGTGCTATCGATACTACTGGCTCGACTCACACCCGGCGATGTACGGTTCGAACTATTACCCGAACTGTACGGCGATTGATCGAATTTATACCGTGGAATATCCAGAATCAAATGATCACCACTGCGAAGTTTCATTTTGGATTTTTTCTTTTCTTTGATTTTAACACCTTGCAATGTGATCTTTTCAATGAAACGCAAACTGTTCAACAATTCCTGTTCCTCTGTGTCAATGATCACATCATTTTTGGTTACAATTTTCTTCGAGTTCACACCAATTTTCGATGTTACAGTGTTGCGTTTTGGAGTTAATGGTTTTTCTTCCAAAATTTCACCCTCTTCATCGACTGTGTCGTCTTTCGTGGAGAATGCATTCATCGGTGGCAATTTATTCAGTGAAATAATCGGTGTGTCAAGACTCTTGGCACGACGACCGGCCGTTGGTGAATCTTGTGTGGCAATTTGGCGTTGCAACGAAGCAAATGCCGATCCTTCGGACAAATTCAAACGAGCATGTGCAAATAATATCGGTGCATGTCCTTTGGATCGCACCACAATCGATGAATCAATGAACTCTTCGATTAATTTGGTGCGTGATTTCTTTGTCTTGGTTTCGCGCACTTCTTTCGATGTGATCAGAGTGTATTCAACATCCGATGTGACTTTTGTCTCTTGGCATGTTTCGTAGGCATCATCATCGGTTCTGAGAAATTCACAACTTTCCAAAATTGGTGACGGTATCGTCTCGGTGAAATGATAGCCTTGACTGGTGATTTCATCCAAATTTTTGGGCTGTGGCATTGCATCGTCCTCAGAGCTTGGGATTGATATTGATCGCTCGGAAATGCGACGCAATTCCTTTTGACTCACATAAGCGGGATCTTTTGGATGCGCATGATAACGACTTTCCAGCTCAGCTAATCGTCTGGTTTGCGGTGGCGAACCTTCTACCTCGGTCGAACTCATGGTTTGACCACGGCCCCAAGCAGCCGACATTATTTTACTGTGTTCAATTTTCAGAATCGGTTCAATTTCCCTTCGTGATTGTGGCGGAGAAAACTCCAAACGTGATGGAACCGCTTCAGCCGAACCAAACACTTCATCCGAATCAATACTTTCATCATCGGATGAAAATGAGGTGATTCGAATTTTATTTTTTCTCGGTCCAGTGCGAGATGGACCTTTGCCCTTTGAAACACGAGATTTTATTATACGTTTTATGGTCGTCATTTGGTTGATTTCCTTCTTCACGCCAATCAATTTAATATCGGAAGCATCATTCTTTTGCGTATCGATTTTCATTTTGGAAACAGCACCGCCAGAGCCGCGCATTCGTTGCAAACTGTCTGTTTTTGAGCTGGTGTCACTTTCGATTTGGCTCAATTTATGATTGAGCGTTTCCATCATTTTCGGATCCATTCGCTTCGTGATATCACGACTCTTCGGGCTCATTGGAGCCACCGTTGGCGATAGATTTTTGTCGATTTCCAAAGTGACAGGATCAACAGCCGAAAGGTCAATATTTTGTGTGAACAAAAAGCCTGAACTCTTATCGGTTTTTGCTAAATTGTCAAGCAAATCGGGCAAAATATCGGAGCTAGGCTTTAATTCGCCGCCCGATTTCTTATCCCCATCTCCCTTTTTATCTTTGTTTTTCGGTGATTTCGGGGATTTCGGTGACTTTGGTGATTTAGGAGATTTAACTTTTTGCTTTGGCGATGGCGCTGTGCCATTCATTACCTGCCTCTTATGCAAAATGTACGGAATGTCATCTTTTAAAAGTGGCAAATGCTTTTGCTCATAATTTTTGAGGAAATTTTTCGTAAAATCCGTGTGATGCACTTCATAGTTTTGATTGTTCGGATTGTACATCCCTTTGAAATTGGCTTTGCACACAACGGGCGGTGCGCTCGGAATTTGCTTATAAAAGTATTCTTCGTCACTTGTATCGGCTGGTGTTAAATCAATGGATTTCTGATGCATGAGTACGTGTCGACGTGAGTTTGACATTAGGCGTGACCGATTTGCCAATGAATTTGGGTCACTTTTGGTGCGTTCAACCGTGGCATGTGGATGATAAAGTGAAGTGCTTGTCTTTGCAATGTTACTATCAACACGTGGATTATATTCTTCAAAGTGTGTCTTGGCTATCAATTCTTCTAGGCGATTACTTTTAGTGCTACATATCAAATGTGGTGATTCGATAACTTGTTTATCAAACTGTGACATCAGTTCGGGCGTTAACGGGTATTCGGGACTTTTCTTCGATTTTTCCGTGTAAATTGCTGTGGCCGGTGTAACACCGGGTGTCATCGGTGGTGGTGGTGATTCCACACTTCCGGTCAACGATTGAATTTTATCTTTGTCAAAGCTAAAAATATTATCAGCCGAACTGCGTCGATACTCTTCACTCAATTCCTTCGACAACTTTTGCTGATGCTCGGCGATAATCAGTGAAATTGGTTTGTCGTTTGCGCTTTTCGATGCGCTGGTCGGTGTATTGGCGTACGATGCATTCGTGCGTGCATTTGGATCAGTCTCAACATTTTGTAAACTAATTGAATGAACATGAGACGTTGGTGTTGATGCACTTGTGGTTGCACATCGTTTGCCATTTACATTATATTGGCACTTATTGCTACTGGGAAATGTCGATGAATAGGTGACTTCGTTGTCGTAATACGAATGCTTGGACGATGCAAGTTCTTTGAGTAAATTTTCATGCGACATATGTTGGATTTCATCGTGTAACTCTTCATCGACCGCAATATAATATTCACTTTTCGATTCAACACTCGAAGTGCGTTCGCTGCTCATGTGTCGATTTGTAAACTGTTGAATCTTTTTGCTGGTCGTTTTGGGCATTTCGTAATTTTTTGAACTGACCATGCCACACGTTAAATCAATTATATTACCATCGTCGAGTGATTCTTTTGAATCTTGACTGGATGCACGTGACGATGAATTAAAACCACCCGAACCCGAACCAATCAACGACGTCTTACTCTTCGATGTGGTTTCACGTGATTTTTTGCTATCAGTATGATAAACACTATCTCTGGATTTTTTACTCGAATCACTACTCTTCAACGAATGCTTGTTATAATCTTCGTTTTCGTCATCGTAATAATAATCGATTTTGGAGTCTTGACTAGACGCTCGCATCGCCTCTTTGATTTGCTTATAAAAATTACCATCCGATTTGACACACATTTTTTCACGTGGCAAATAGCGCGCGTCCTCAAGCAAAAAGAATTCATTATCGTTCATTAAATCGGCGGCACTTTTTGATTTCTCATCGACAAAAACATGCGTGCGATATTTGCTTGGCGCATACGAGCCACTGTAATGCGATTGAGCATAATGCTGGAACAGTGCATAGGCGCCGTCTTGTTGAATTTGATTGGCCACATCCGAACCAATGCTTTCGTCGTCGGTCGGAATATAGTTGCCCGAATCAAGTGAACAAGAGCGTTGATGATAGAAATTCAACGGTTTTTTCATGGATTGCGATTTTTTGTAGGCTAAAGCCGTTTCACATTGATACGAATGACGTTTCTGGGCATTGTATACCATTTCATTGTACAAACGTTCGTCTTCATCATCAATATCGGATTTTTCCAACAATTCATAACTGTCATGCGACAGTTCATCATCAGAATGCTGTATCTGACAGTCACTGTTGCGTCGATGAGTTTGATCCAAAGCATTGTATGTGGTGCCTGGATAGCTTGACGAATATACCTTGGAAAATGAATTAAAATCTTCTTTGTCAATCGATTGTTTTTTCGGCGTGTATGTAGTGTGACGCGAGTCATCGTATCGAGTAATCGGCGAGTCGATGCGATTAAAAGCCAAAAATTCACGGTCAAAACTGTCTGGTTGACCGGTGTTAATGGCAACATTACGCGTTCCCTTGTATTCAACCACATCGTAAAGGTCTTTGCAAGAGCTACTGCGAAGCCAAGTGTCTTTGTCCACTAGTCGATCGTCGACCAGCTCATTTTCGTTATCATTATCATCACGCTCATCGCTGTACTGAAAGTGTCTGGGCAACGTGGTCGATTGGCCACCGTTCGATTTATACTGTACCGACGAATAAATATTCGATTGTGAAAGTTCATATTCCAGTTTTTCCGACGAGTTCTTCTTCAGTGACGAATAGCTTGGATTACTTTCCAAAGTGCCCGTCGTCGTCACCACCACCACTTTACCATTATTTTGATTATTTAAATTATTCAACGAACGATGATGCTTAGTTGCATATTGGTGGCTGTCATACGATTCAATCGAATTGATTGCGGATAGATCGTAGTTTCGTGTGATTTTATTACTACCGTCACCCATTAGACCGGCACTACTGTGACGAGCATACAATGGTGGTGCTGGCATTGGATCGCGACAAGGAATCGTATCGTTTGGATAAGCCGTTGCGGCTGCCACCGCCGACGAATAGATACGATGGTCTGGGTAATTTTGATAGTTTCGATTTGATTTATCAATATATTCGTTGCTATATTGTTGCCGTGTGTCGTCGTTGTTTATCGTATGTTGCATATTTTCGCGCGATTTCATTTTGGCCGTGCGATCAATGGTCGCATACAGATCGGCCATAACGGTTGCATTATTAGTGTTATTGTTCGGATTTAATTGGTTATAATTACAATTACTATAATTGCTAATGGTGGTTTGATTGAGTTTAGTATTGCTACCACGATTTCGGTACAAATCATTGATGTCTTGATAGATTATGTTATCGGGACCGCTACTGATGTCCTGATCCGATTGCGTTTCTTCAGTGCTCACGGACTTAGACATCAAAAACGTATTGCTATAATGGATTTGTTTGCAAGCATTGCTGGTGGTGTGGGCGTCGTTGATTTGTGGCCAATGTGAGATTTGCGGCTGAACCATGGTATGATCCGTAGTATGGATGTCCACCGAAGCGGTTGTTGTTTGCGACGATTGTGTTGTTAGCGAATTCTCCGCCGCATGCCGCTGCTGGGTATAAATGTGCTTCCGATCCAATTGATCGGAGGGCACAGCAGTTGCACTGTGCACCGGATGGCTGATACCCGAATCCGTTCCGACAGCTTGGCTCATATGCGGAGGCGAGGTGAATTTGCGGTTGGGATGAGGCAAGGTGTCGCGCGACACCACATGAGCAAAACGGTGCCGGTTCGGATCTTCACGACGACACCGAACGAAGTTGAATGTTGATGATGCAAAATGAGTTTTGGAGACGGAATGTAAAATAGTTTTGAAAATGAGTTTTGATATTTTGAGTCTCTTTTTTTTTTCTTTCTTGCAACGGTATATCAACTCAAAAACCAAACAAACCAGAAAACACAAGTTACCCAAAAAAAGAAAGACATTAATATCGTTGCCCACACAACTTAAACAGAACAAGTCATTGCATAAACAGATTAAACCGAAGCAAATCATAAAAATGGTTTGGCTGTTGCCCGAACAATAAATCATATGGTCACTCGAAATGTAGAAATCATAATTTGAACTCAAATGTCAAAATGTCAACAAAAACGAAGAAGATTAATTGAACGAAATGATATGGTTAAATGAAATGATTAAATGAAATGAATGAGGCAAGGTTGAAAGAGATGATGAAAATTGACATGAATGCTTACCTTCGGAACGTCCATGAGCCGGATCGATTTCTCGCATATTGTTGTTGCTGGTTTGCTTGCGCGAATTCCATGTGGTTGCCGGAGATGCAGAGTGACTCGAATCCATGTGTTCCGTTGTTGCTGCAGAAGTCTTCGTCGGATAAATCTCCACCTGGGCTGCTGTGACCTACATGTCAAAAATTAGCAAATTTAATTATGTGGTTGCATCAATTCATTGTTTCAATCATAGAAAATTGCATTGATATTTTCTATCGAATGGAGGCACTCACTTGAGACCGCGTGTGTTCGGTATGACTGTCGAGTTGGTGACTCGGTGTACTCACTTGCCTCTTCGTCTGAGAAGGCGTCATCGAATTTTTGTTCGGATTGCGATAGTCCCATTCCGCTATTCATATGAAACAAACAAAAACACATCGAATATATTAATCACACACAAACAATCAATTTGCCAATGGTTTTTTTTCACTTCTGTTATTTTTAGCTACGAAACAATAATATCAAACAATATTTCGCTAAAATAATGGAAATGAAAAACCCTCGGGGAATGGAAATCAGGAGAAAATGAAAAAAGAACAAAACTAAATGAAATTAAATGTTGAAAGAAAAAAACAAAAACAAAAAATGTTGAAATAAAAATGTACAAACCAGTCTCAATCGGGAGCAAAGGATGTGCTGAAATGCTGGAATTCACATTGCACGAATTGTGCGACAGACTTCGACTACTAGCTTGAAGTGGTCCCTGTCGGAATGATTGAGACCTGCCCAAACGACACAACATTTTAATTTTTCCACAGTTGAACACACATATCAAATTCGAAAAATACAATCAAATCAATTTTTAAACTGCCTCATCATCTTAATTGTCATTGTACTTTCTTCAATTGATTTTCTTCAGTTTTCTCGGCCGAATTCCAAATCAGCCACAAACTTTGAGAAAATTGCAAATTCTATTGTGCATTTGTTAATTGGTTACGTTAAAACACGGAGATGTTATCAAGCTTTAAAAAGAAACAAATTATTCGTTCTTGTTTCGTTTGTTTGTTTTTTTTTCGTTCGATTTAGTTTTAGATGAAAGAATGACATTGAAAGAAAGGAAAAATAGATGTAGAGAGAAAAACACAGGAGTAGAAAAAAATGAAACGATAAAATTCATGGAGATTAAAATGAAATGTGGCTTTAAAATTGAGTCACATTCATAGATTTGGTTGCACATGAATTGGATAGATTGTGCAATTTTAAGATGAATGCGAGGGATGCGAATGAGGCGCAGTGCTTCAGAAATGTTATTTACAAAGTGTAGGACGAATTTGAAAACTAAAAACTCAATTGAATCAGATAGATGAAAGCACACCATTAGAAGCGTTCATATTCGTGTTGTTCGAAGTTTGAAATGGCTATGTTCAAACGGTATATATGACGGCAACAGAGCAAAGTGTAAGACTAATTTCCATTGCGTGAGGTAAATCACTCAAGTAAGTTCAAGCAAAACTTCAATTGAGTTAAATGCAAGCAAATAAAATTATCTCAATTTAACGTCTGCTGTCGTCATATTTTCTTCATTTTTCGAATTTGTCGCTTATTCTAAGCGATTCTTTTGTTGTTTTCTCTTGTCAAAAATGTGAGAGAAACATTCGAAAATTCAATGAATAAAAGCATGAGCACACACACACACAGAATGTTCTGTTTGTTAATAAAAACAACTATCATGGCAATTAAATGTGTTGTTGTTGCTAAATGAAACTATATGTTTGACATGCGATCGAAAAGTCCAATTGAATTGGAAAAATGGCTAAACTAAAACAATTAGTAAATCATGTTTTTTTTTTGTTCTTCTTTTTTTTGGTATCGATCCAGTGGAGAAACAATAACAATTGACTGTGCTCTTGATCTTGAGATGAAATATGACTATGCATGAAAACATCCGTAAATCTAATATCATGAACATTTTTTGTTTAACATATAAATGACACGTAGAAATCGAATGGAAAAAAAAACCGAAATAAAAATAGTGAAAGTTAAAACGAAACGAAATTGTATAGGAAAATTGAAGCAGCAAAACAAACGGAGAAATTAAACTCAGAACCGAGGAACCAATATTTGAACGGAAAATTAAAAAAAAACGATTGTCAAAGAATCTTTAGAAAAATGCAAATAGACATCGATTAACAAAAAAACTAAACAAATCGAAATGAAATGCGAACTCGTGCAAAATGTAGCTCGTCATTTCTGAACAAAAAAAATCCAATGCAATTGGATACTCACCTTTGAAATGCTTGTCGCTTGACATAATTTTCACGCACGAATTCCACAATTTGTTTTTGGGTTTTTCCACTGTATCTGTTCATTTTGACATGGAACGAATGAAGTCACAGAGAAATTGCATGAAATAATTTTCCAAATCATAAAAATGAAAACATGTCTCTTTTCATCTCTTACCGAAATGAGCTGCCACGCGATAAGACTCGTGCTTTTCGCCGGGGTGTTGATTGAACCGTTGTGCAACGAAAGAAACCATGATTTTCTACACATTTTTTCCAGAAATTTTTACATTCGTTTCGCGTTTCGAAGAAAAACTCCACCGTGTCCTTGTAATAGCCCTGAAATGCAGAACATGGATGTCAGTTAAATGCGAAATTGCCTCAATGGCGGTTGAATTTTGGTGGTTAAGTTAATACATAATCTATGCAGCATAACGCTATAAATAGAATGAACAAAAAGTAACGAGCGAATGACGTACATAGCCTTCGGGATGTAGTTTAACGAGAAAACGTTTTCGTTTGAATGAAATCTTTCGTATTTTTGCCCAAGAGAATGTGTTGATTCGTGTGATGCCTTGAAATACCGCAATCCCCATATGGGCTACGGCCAAATTGAGCGGAACACCCTCAATGTCTTTGGCTGGATGCATTCTCATGCCATACAATTCGCAACGTCGTGCTGTTTCCAGCAAATTTAAATCCGCTTCAGCTGGCGTTTGTCCTCTGCAAAAAAAAACCGAAAATAAATGTGATAAATGAATTCCATCAATCGAAATGAATTTCTGCTTTCGACCCATTTACTTACACGTGTTTTTTGTGATTTTCCATAATTCTTCGTTGCATCGCGGCATCTTGATGTGGCACAAAACGATACGATGACAAATACGTGTGATCGGGATAGTCTTCAGCCACATAATCGCCACATGATGCTATGTGTGTGAGTGAGTGCATAAAAATAGAAATTCCAATGAAAATCCAACTCAGAAGCAGAAAACAATTTAAATGAGAGAGATTAAAAACAAGAGCTCACCTTGAACTATGTAGCTGGCCATTAAGGCAGCCGTATTATCGTTACATTGTAGTGTATTATCAGCTAAGTCTCGTTTGATTTGTAGGCAAAACAAAAATCTGCAACGAACATTCGAAAGAGAAAATAATGCCGTTAGTTTGTTGTTTCAGTTTGAACAAAGTTTTTTCTCCTCATTAAATCAATTTGTACGGTTGGTTTTACATGAAAAAATAAAAGATATTTACCGTGTAAACTCTTCTTCTAGTTGCACCGGATCCGGGGTGTAAAATTTGACACAAAATTTAAGCATAGGTTCGACGAGGGATAGGCCAACTTGTCGATTTATTGGTTTTTCCAGATCTAACCAATACTGTAGAAAGTTGAATACAAAATGAAATTAATTCCATAAAACGACCGAAACATTTCCTCATCATTAAAAGTTTTGGAATAAGTTAATTTACCTTAACATTTGAAGTAGTTTCATTATATTCTAAACCAAAGTAATCGGCTTCGAGTAAATTGATTTGCCTGCAAACTTGTTCGAATAACACTTTGCCCAGTGCTTTGGCCTGGAAATAAGAGTAACGACAGCAACGTGCATTTTGCTTGATTAAATTGCATGAATTTCATATATATGTATGTTGCACCCAATTAAATGAATCAAGTTAAAGGAAGTGGGTGTGTTTAATGACATGGAATGAACATCAATGGCCGTAAAAAAATCAACTGGAGAAATGTGTGTGTTAGAAAGAAAATATTTAAATTACCTGCACTTGAAATAAAGTGATTGAATCATCGAGCATTTGTACGCGAATGGCTATTTTTTTCGATCCACGACCGGTCCCAGACGCTGAACCATCCACACCAGATGGTGTACTGATCGAATGAGTCATCCGATTGCCCGATGCTTGTGATGGTGCCATTTTCGATTTTAATTGCGTGTGTATCGTTGGTATTGAGTGGATCTCTCGTTGATTGGCGAAATGTGTTTGTCTATCGTGAACTATTTAATGTGGCCAAATCGTGTGCCCGAGGTCGAGTTTCGTTAATTTAGAACGAAATGAAAGAAGAAAAAAAAAACAGTCACCGGTTCAATTGAAATGAACCTCAAGATTTCGTCGATGTTGATTGCAACTATTTCGTCGAATTACTACTAGTTCATTCCGATTCTTTGGAGTCATCTGTTCAATGGAAGGCAAAAGACATAAATAAACACACATTAAAAATCAATCTGGTGAACGCAAAGGATATGAGCATCAATTGAGTTAACAGCATCGTTTAAAAGGAAAAACGAAAAGAGAAAAAAAAACAACAAACAAATGGAAATGACTTTAAATTTCTGTTGCTTTGCATCTTTTTTTTAAATGTATTCTTAACTATAAACACATGTCAATGTACGCATATCATGTGGGGGGGAATGCATAACATTAACGATGAAATGCTATAATAATAATTTACACGTGTGTAACACACAAATGCGACGGTTTGTGTGTGCGTGTGATAGACAGAGACACAGAGATTCTGACAGTGCTAATTTGATACGGATATTCGGCTTCTTTTAAGGATAAACTCAACTGAAAAAAAACTGTCGGAATCACATGAATAAATGTTCCAAAAATTGATCGTTCAGCCTCAATTGGCCCATTTGAAAGTCGAAAATAAATTGAACAAAGTTCAGAGTGGTTTTAAGGTTAAACAAATTCCAGTGTTGGCCCAAGACAGTGTGTACGCGCCCAAAAAAGATATATAGTATAAACAGCTTAAACCGTTAAAACATTAAACGATTTGCTTGATAGGCTTTAGTTCTGTGAAAATGTAAATTACGTAAACATTATGCCAGTGAATTTGTTTGAAAAACGCACACTATTTCAATTCGTCTATAGACTCCGGGTCTGTGAGTAAATTAAAAACGGTTCGCGTGTGATGTGCGTGCATCACAGAGAGTGTGTGTGTCAGTGAGCAGTTTAAGTGTGAAGAATCACCGAAGAAAGTCATAACGCGTTCGTGGGTTGGGACTTAGAAGAATTTATGGCATTTCATATTGTTCACTCATTTCTCATTCTTCCTCACTCTTTGTCTGTCTATCTGGCTGGTTGAGGCTGCGCTTGTTTGTTGTTCATTCAATTTTCATCGCGTGAACAATTTGCCTCTCGCGATGACAAAATGCTCCATGATAATCAAGCACGGAACAAAAATGATTTCATTATGAAAACTCGTTTATATTTTTTGTTGTTTTTTGTTGGTATATAAATATGAGTCTGACGGCACAAACAGAGAAATGTGCGGCCCAGCTGGCTCATTCTGTTTAGAGTATATTACGAACAAAATATGAATATATTATATTTTTGGCATACAATATACTATAGATTCCATGCTGACGCATATGTAATACATCTGCACGCGGCATAAAATTGACTGTGGTTTTATGTGCGCTCTCTCACTCTGTCTCTCTCATACACTCTGTGTGTACGTTAACTGCCATTATTATGATTGCGATTAATCGTGCTGTGTGTGTGAGCCTACTGAGCCTACGTTCCAAAAACAAAACACGTAGATCTTTGTGTTTCGCTTGAAACGAAATTTCCGGCATTAATTCAGTTGTGTCGACGATGTCGATGGTTGTCATTTCTCTTTTATTCACTCTTCTAATTGAATTCAATCAAGAAATTGCAAATTCAAATTTGTTCAATCCATCAAAACCAATGAATAATGGTTGCAATTAAAATTTTCAAGATTTTATGATAAAAATCAAACATACATGACATTTGAAGTGTTTCGAGGTCGCACACCTGAAACAAAGAGAGACAATGCTTCAGCAGATACGCGCGTCCGTGCGCTCACTCAATCGTCGACGATTCAAACGATTTTTTCTATAAAAACAAATAGGTTTTTTTTTTTTGTTCAAACGTATCAAAAGCATGCGGTTGAGTGGGTAAACCGGTACTAATACCACTCAATATTGAGCATTGGTAAAAGTTTGTAAAACAAAATCGATAGACAAGTCGAAGTAGATATTTCGGATTTGTCACTTCGCCAAAGACGATCATACTTCCAACGAAGGGAGCGAACGACAATTTCGAAACACTTCTTTATTGAATTATGTGTTGTCATCGTCGTCGTCGTAGTTTTTTTTCGTTTCAGGCGATAAAACAAATTTCCGTTGACTTTGCCGATAAGATAAATTGAAGAAAAGCAGCAAATCTTTACTATAGTAGTAGAGATACACGTAAATTTATGTTTTTTATGATGTCATCTTATTGAGCTGAAACTACACTAAATCGGAATAGCATTCGTTCGTTGTGGATCTGTGCGGTTTTCATACGTTTGTTCAATGCACACGAAGAACGGAGAGAGAGAGAGAGAGGGAGAGAGAAAAAGAGAGTTCACATAAATTGTGCTCGGTGCTGATAGGAAAGCACTCTTGCATTCGGAATAAAATTCAATTTTGACACTTTGGACAAAGTGACGTTATCGGTGTGTCCATATGATTGTGATACTAGACTCGGATTTTCTGGTTGGAAATTTGAATCATTCGTTTGGATGTTCGTAATGATCGACAATCTCGAGATTAAATTGAGTAATGAAATTGAGTTTGCCAGTGGAATGAGGAATTGGCTTTGCATCGACAGGCCAATGCATTTGACTTGACGTGTTATAATTTAACGGCAACTATGAATACAGAATGGCATAAGCCACATATTCAAACCACATCCATATTTAGTTATTTGATGTGTTGTTCATTTCTCATTTGATTTGCCATTTTCGGAACACAAGTGCAACCAAATGCTTCTCTATGTATGTATCGACGGGCTCTAAATCCATATTCGGCTGGTGGATTTATAAGAGTTCAGCGACATTCATGTCATTTTATTTCATAATTCATCACAAACTGGGAAGCTCTTATGAGAAGAAGATAGAATAAAATAAAGAAATGATTTAACTCGTTCGCTTGCCTAGTCATTTAGAGTGTTGTTTCAAATCGATTTTCATCGATTTACAAAATGGTTGAAAGCCGTTCTCAATATTGTTTCATTGGAGTATTGAAATAATACGAAGATAGAATACGAAACGTAATTCAACAAAAACCGGAACTCTTAATCACAATTTTCCGTTGCCGTGTGTCGATTCGGTACACGCAGCCGAATGTCTCATAATACCCAGGTGTGTGACTCTCATTTTGATGGACATGTTTACGTGATAATTTTTTTTTATAGAATTTAATAGATAAATTTTCTTTACGGCCAATTAGGAGAGCTGGTTTATCATTTTTTTTTTATTTTGGTTAAAAATAGCAACACAATTACTCGATTGGTTCATTATCCAGTAGATTGGCTTTTTCTTCATTGAACCGCGCAACACACTCATGTACCGATATATTGTTGTCATTATGCTATTATATATCCAGCCTATTGCATGTGCATGACGCTGTAATTCGAATTAGCATTTTTTAATGGAAAAATTGAAAATAGATACCATTTCTTTCCATGTGAATGAAAAAAAAAACCGTTGTGGAGGACGCGCCTTAAAAGTAAATTCCGCATTACCAATTTCATGATGACGATGAAAATATGCAAATAAAAAATGCCCTTCACAATGAAGTTTTCCACTCGAAAAAAATAAAAGAAAGAAAAGAAAATTGATAGCCTAATCGATGGGATCAATCGATTTGAGAACGCAACCTCTTAACTCTTGCAAATTCAACTCCTTATATTCAAACACTTCAACGTTTTTATTATGACTTTAATCAAACAGGCCTTTAGATGTCGTTATCACGTTGAAATGCCATTAACTATCAGGGCAATTCATTCAAAAATACCAAATGAAATGCCATTAAAATGGATTTTCCATTGAGATCCGCCGCACACATACATACACACACACACACACACACACACTTGAATCGAGTGGCGCAACGACGCTGTGCGGGAGGCAAAAAAGGCGCGCACCGTATACACCGTTCACCGACCAACGATTTGCTTATTGTACCAGATATGTACGCTATGTGATGTGTTATGTGCTGCGAGCTGCTATATGGATCGAGTCGATACACCCGAGAAAAGTGGATGGATGCTCTTTGATGGCTTAACATTATTACCGAGCGCAGCGACCTAATTTCGAAAAGGAATCATTCAGCCTGTGAATGGGTGTGCTGCTGTCATTGCTGCCACCACTGCTTCTGTTGTTGTTTGCTGTGTTTGAGCTCCTCTCCCATTTTTCACATTTTGGCATTCAATCGTATGCACGCATATGTATGGTATATAGACGGCAATCTCAGATAATGGAAATTCATGACGTGAACATTTCTTTGCCCTTCTATTCTAATTTCGACTAGGATGAACTTTTCTCTGATTTTGCCGTCATCAACTGTCAATTATGTGCAAACAAAACAAGTTTTCATGCAATTCGAGGCACAACAAAAGGAAATGTCATCACAAAACAATGGACGGTCATAAAAGATTTTTCCTGTTTGTTTTGCGACGAAAACAATGGAACTTTGTTCGCGGCAACAAAATAAAGGAGCCGGAAAAATGAACTAACATTCGAATCGAATCAAACGACAAATATTTATTTACAGCTCGCAAACTGGGCAAATGAGGTGTAATAAACTGTGAAATTCAACAAAGACCGTGTATATTCAATCGAATTTGTTTATCACATGACGTGGATGATGTGTATGAATAAACAAATATGTAGTCGTTTTGAATGAATGAAAATTCAACGGTGTTTATCAATCGATTGCATACGTTACTCTCTCTCTCTTTCTCCTTCTCTGTCTCTTTCTTTCGCGGTGTGCACGTGAAATTAATCGAAGCGATATAATTTGCACAACTCGAAAATGGTTTAGGTCGAAAGAGAGCGAGTGGTGTTTGTTTCGATACGCAATTGTAAATATATACGCATAACGACATTGAAATGCGTGTGTGCTCCATTTGCAAAAACATAGCCCTTTTGATACAATCGTAGCAATTCAACTGACTCTCTCTCTCTCTCTTTCTCTCTTTCTCTCTTTCTCTCACTCTCTGTCTCTGTGGTAATATGTACAATTTCGACGAGTTGATTTTAAATTCACTTTCCTTCTTGCGCGCACATACACACTGTCGTCATCATCAATGTAGTCGTTGTTGTCTTCGTTGTCGTCGTTCAGCGACCAGGCAAAAACACATACGAGCGCCTCTCCGTCGGAATGTGTATGCGTGGTGCAACGGTATGCGTGTTACACCCTGTTTTTTTTCTTTTTCTCGCACTCTACTTTAATTATCGTCAAAATAATTGCATCTACTTTAATTATCGTATACATAAATTCCCATGATTCGGAATGGAATTCATTGAAAAACTCATTCTGCCAATAGCTCAAAGCAAAAATGCGAGCTACTTGAGCTAATTGAATACACACAGTGAACGCAATTCAATGAAATGAGAACGAGTTCTCTTCACTGCTTTTTTTCATTTCGATTTATCTGTGGGGTAGCACAAGAACAGAAGAAGAACAAAAAACTGAAAGAAACGTCACTTACTCTACCATCTCGCCCTTTTTTTCGCCTTTCTCGATTTTATTCAAACTATTTGCATGAATATTTTTGATCCGATCTGCTGCTCTACCATTGTACTGCATGTATTTCAAATTTTCTGTGAACTTTTTTAACGCTTTTTTTTCGTGTTTCTTTTATAATTTACTTGGTATGATTTTTTTGGCAACAAATAAATTCGGTGCTTTCTTTGATTCTCACAACACAATTCTCACATAAATATATGTATAACAAATTTTTTATATTGAAAAATATCACTCACGCACGAAATAAAATGATTAGAAAATAAAACGAACGAATGCAATAACAAAAAATTGCATATTTTCAATTAATTCGACTCTTCGTTACGATTCCCGTTTACACCCAGTTTTTTTTTCGCTCTCTCGTCTCACATTCAATTGGGTCGATGATAGCATCTACACTTTTGCTCACTGTGTGTATATATATGGATTGGTTCAACTTTTTTTCTTCTTCTTTCCTCATTTGATTTGGTTTGCGTCTTTTTCCAAAATCAAATGCTCAAACCAAACTGAAACATTTAAAACTTGGAATCGTTTTGGTTTTGTAAATTTGGGCGAATTTACATAATGAACACGAAATCGAAATACAATAAATGCAAAGGAATAAAACACAAAAAGAAATGATTTTGTTTTAGCACTCTACTTAATTACATGAAAAACGCAGCGCAATAAATCACACACACCCAACGTCAAACACTGCTTTCGCCATATTGAAACGAAAAAATACAAAATTCATGAACGTATCAACGAAATCGACGCATACACACAGCGTATACACTAATACAAACGCACATAGGATTGTAGCTGCTGCTGCTGCTGGTGGTTTGCCTTATATTCTGGAGCCCAACACATTCATTTCTTTCTCCATGTATTTTTTTCTGGATACGGTTGATACGATGCGATGGAATTCCGTACACAACGTTGAATGGATCGATGTGTGCGTGCCCGTACTCGCTTGCTCTCTCTCTCTCTCTCTCTCTCTCCAACCCAACAAGATAAACGTCGTTTGTCGGCTGGAAAACGCGCGTCAAGTCAACCAAATATCCGTATGTTTGTGTATCGGAATGCTTCTGCAACTAACCAACGCAAACAATTCGACTGAATGAATGTCATGCTGTATTCGAGTGTTTTGACGTTTAAAACCTACGATTGTTATTGAACCAAGCAATGCCATCTATCGTAAGTGAAGGAAATTAATTGGAATTTTGTTTACACTTTGGACCAGAAGAGAATTGGGTTTTTTTTCTTCATTAAACAATCAAAACTATATTTGAATAAAAAAAGAATTGAACAGAGACATTTATTTCGACTCATCACCTTTAGTTTTGTGCGATTGCAAAATAACATCATTTCACTAACACATACGTTTTAAGACAATATTGTGCATCTTGGACTGTTTGTTCAATGTCGCATTGATCACGAGCGTATAATTATCATTTCGTTTTTTTTATCATCTTCATCATCGTCGTCGTTGTGGTCGAGCACAAGGTAATGTTAATTTATCGTGTCAATCGAATGAACTCTCTTAACTAAATCGCAGCTTTCGGAATGCACAATATTTTGTATAAAAACTATTGAGGTCGATATTTAGAGATCTATTTAGCTTTTTTGCTCTTCTCCTTTGCCTTCTTCTCATCGCTGGTTTTGCGAAAACGCAGACAACAGCGCAGCACGATGATAAAGAGTATGAATCCAATGATTGTTATGGCTGGGATGAGGTAAGTATTATCGTTGATTAGATTGTTGATGCCATTCGTTTGGAAGTTCTTGAGATAGGCCACAATTGACGATACCAAGTCATCGCTTTAATTCGACGAGATTGTGTAAATAGAAGAATGAGAATAAAGTGATTAATTCGAGTTTTTGCAAGAGATGATTCAGTTCAAGTGGTGAACAACTTACAATGGAGATGCTGGAGACTTAATCTTTTCCGCTCGTGAGTTTCGATAAAATTCCTGAGCGAATGATACAAATGTCTTCACATCGTATTTTGGAATGTCATAGCGATAGAAATTTCCTTGGCGAATGCTGAAATAAAATGTCATGGTAAATGTCATGTCTCACACTTGGATTAGCTCATTATTCCTCTTCGAAGAAAAACACCAGCATCAACTTACAAAATGAATTCGGGTGCCTTTTGAACATTGAATCGCTTTGCAGTTTTTACACCACGCAGATCTTTTTCGACTCGGGCCACATTGACTCGATTCCGAAGACCTGCACCCACAGCTTCCCACACCGCCGAAAGGCGTTGGCAATCGATGCACTCACGGTTGTAGCTGAAAGATGGTATTTGATATGAATAAATGGAACATTGCACATTTTGTGAATAAATTTTCAATTGCGTACAATAGCACAAGCCAGTCACCGGTTGTGGATCCGGTTGCCGCTTGAGTTAGATGCTCGAATGAGTCATCGGTGAGCTCTTTAACGATTGGCATACGATTTTGATCGAATTTGTGGATAATTTCTTCAGCATTAATGTTGCCTTCGTACAACAACGGGACACCATGACGGAAGAAAATGACTGCTGGCTCCTTTTTTGGATTGTACAAACGTACCAATTGGCTGTCAACTACTTTCACCACTTCAGCGGGGAAAGTCTCTCTGAACTCATCGCGAACCTTGAACAATTCATTCTCGTACTTGTCACAGTCGGCGCAATTCTTTTTCGCTAGAATGGAATATCGATTGAAAAATGCTTGGTCATATAATATAAAATGTACGGCACTTACAAAATAGCACGACCAAAAATTCATTCGCTTTGATTCGCTCAACCAAATCATCATCCGAGATTGTTTCAAAGGTAGTTGCTGCAGTTGTAATCGCAATCACAAAGATTGCAACGAAGAAGATCGATGAAAACCATTTGGACCACATGGTTCAAATTGAGAATTGTTTTTGATTTATCTTAGCGACAAGCGGCTTTTGGCTTGAATGAAGGGAAACGCAATGTATTACGTATTTAATTTGATGTGTCGGCAAGTGACACATTGACAACATTCAACATTGAAACACAAATACACATTCACTCAACGGAACAACACTTGACTTTTGCCTATAAACAATACACATTCGAAGATCTGACATTTCTATAGAAACACTTGGCTATCGATATGGCAACACTTGAATTGAATGAATGAATAACTACTGAAAGATTCGTAAAACTGAACACTTTCGATGAGAGTTTTTAGATACATTTTATTCGAATTTTAATATTACTTCGATATTTTTTAATTGAATAAAAAAGCAGTAAAATACATGGGATCTTTGTTGTTGGAAACTCGAACTTATTATTATTGAATGCTATGGACAATCTGGGTTTCATATTAAAACTTTCCAATAATACAAAACAGGTGTTTGCTATGTACGTTAGTTTAAAAAAAAAACTAGAAATGGCATTGCTTTACCGATTGAAATGAGGATGTTCCTAGGGGCTAGGAACAAGTTGTGTCATTCGTATGTATTCGCATATATTCATGCGTTCATGGCTTTGTTATTGTTGTTGTAAACTCACTGCGCTGCGAATGTCTCGTATACACAATCACAAGAATTCACGAATATTCGTACGAATCCGTCTCAAGCGCTTGTGTTCCTACCCCCTAGAGATGTTCGCGTCATTTCTTGTCAGATTTTGGTGACAAACGGTAGGAAATCTCACTGTTTGGAGTAGGAAATTTTGGAGTCATTTTCAGTGGTGTGTGACTATAAAACAAGATCATATATGAAAAATTGGTCAGGCGGGATCGAAAACAATTGCAATTAGCTTCAAATTGCGATATTTATCATCACAATAGCCTCAACCAGTACTGAGAATGGCACAAAAATCAGTTGACAAAAAGCTATCATCAAAATTACGTATGTGTTCAGAATGTTTTTTCTCACTGAAGTTATGATATCGATATCACCATGAGTTGAAGAGTGTCCATCGCACTAATTTATCGATGCGAGTCGATAATTGAGCTGATTTTCTTTCTAAATCGATCTATTTCATCGAATTCCAATGATGCATTCGGTGCAACAACTGCGTGGCGATATTTTTGATTCGCACGTGCCTAAACCTAATCCAGTAGAATGGAGTCGTTCTTGGGATCGAGCGATGATCATTATCGCAATTTCCACACCCGTGAATCGTAGTCGAACCGGTTCGAGCCGTACATAGTCACAAATTTCAGCTATTCTTTGTAAGTTATACGGCAACGCAGAACAATATCGCTACTAATCACACAGTTCTCTAGAGCTTTAATGGCTCCTTGACTGTCTGTGAAGATAGCAATCTTGCCTGTCGTGCCATTCTCTAATATCAACCGGCCACATTCAGTGATGGCTGTAATTTCTAATTGTTTTACCGTGACGTATTTGCCCATCGAGACCGAATTGTTTACTTCTGGCTGCACGCAATGCACACCGTAGCCTCCATAGTCACCCTTCAAAGAACCATCTGTGAAAAATGCTGTGTCCGCCTGTACCTATTGGCAGAAGTCGTTCAAATCTCTTGTGAATTCAAAAAATCAGGTACCAGATAAGTGAACTTTTAATAAGTGGTATTTATTTTAGCCATTCGATTGGTTCCACGCGTATTAAGCAAAAACAATGATCGTCAAAAATTTATCATCAACTGTGACTTGACTATACTGAGAAAAAATGTGATTTTCGACGCAAACATTCAGCGAAAGGGAATCACACAACTGTGATTACAATGATGGATGTTTTCGGTTTTTGAAAAAAAAAGAGTCAAGAAATGGTTTGATTTTTTTTTATTGAATTGACTTTTTGAACACAACTCAAAAGGTAGTATGTACCTTTGTACCCATAATCATATTACCTATCTACAAAATTCCACGAAATTCATTCTATTTTTATTGGTTTATGAATGGTCATTGGTCAATCAATCGTTGTGTTTATGAAATTCATTGAACTAAGTAATTTCCTAAGTAAGGAATTGATGATAAAAGATTAATAATTACTGTAGACTTTCAAAACGATATTGTCCTCAAGGCAATACATATCCTATGAATGCAGTTCCTATAATTACTAGTATTATAATTACCCCAATATTTCAAGTTTCTTTGAATATAAATGATTTAAAATATATCCCGCCCCGCGTCCATATGATTTAAATCATAGAAAATTTAGAAAAAATAGTTTTTGGACAATTTCTCCATTAGTTTCAAATATTTATATAAATATTGCAAAATCGATTGGATCAATTTCAAATAGTGAAAATTGTAGCGAACCTATCACGAAAAAAATCACCAATCCAATCTTCATGGAGCAACGGCTTTACTTTTGATCAAGAAAGACAATAATGTACAGTGTAGTCTACATTTGATATGTGTTATTTTTAACAAGTCAGTCTGCTCTGCTCATCTAACCCGTTGCCAAAAATTACACAAGTTATTCAACATTTGATACTTTTTAGAAAAAACCAGTTCAGCATGACTTGCATTTTAAATCGTGAGTTAAAATGAGTAAGTGAACATACGAATGACACAACTTGTTCCTAGCCCCACAAGTTATTCAACATTTGATACTTTTTAGAAAAAACCAGTTCAGCATGACTTGCATTTTAAATCGTGAGTTGTGTTTTAAATGAGGAGCTAATTTTGGCTGTTTTATATTGTAATATTGATAAGCATGAAGCTATTTTACCTATGCAGCACACACAGAGACGGTTTATGTTGTATTTTAGTACTAAGTCACATCATTCACACACACTTATATAGTAAATTAACAAATGTTTTATGTATTCACAGCTTGCTACATAGGAGTGAACCGTGTAAAGTCTGTGTAGAACAAATCTTCTGCGTCGCATATGTTTTGATAATCAAACGCGAAAGTATATTTTCTGCTATCTCGTTATCAAAACTTGAAATTTTAGAGATTGGTATTTACCAGTTGGTTTTTGATATAAATTTGAGTTACACGTGCGCCTCATCTCAGTTGTAAATAGAATTTCGAGCAAAAAACATTGTTGTGAAGTTTGGAGAAACTATTTTTCTACCAATAATGGCGTTAATAAGTGATAGTCTGAAGTTTGATATGTTAGTGATTTCAGTTGGAGCAGCTACCCTACTCTATTTATTCTTCAAACGAACGTATTCGTACTGGGAGCGCAAAGGATTCAAATCAGCTCCAAATATTAATTATATATTTGGCAATTTCAAGCGATCGTTTTTGGCGAAAGAAAATTTCGCTGAAACTATTGACACACTCTACCGAAGTACAAATGAGCCATTTATTGGCATCTACACGATACTTCGCCCAGTGTTGCTACTCAGAGATCCCGAACTAATACGTTCGGTTTTGGTTAAAGATTTTTCACATTTCACCGATCGCGGCATTCATTGCAACGAAGATTACGATCCATTGTCGGCGAATTTACTGGCATTACCCGGGCAGAGGTACAATTAAAAAGTTTTTGCATATGAAACACATTCGGGTAGTTTATTTTTCTTTCTATTTACACTTCAATATTCAATTGCAATCCATAGATGGAAAAGTATGCGTGGAAAGCTTACGCCAACATTTACTTCAGGTGATTGTTCTTATTCTTGAATTATCTCAAGCAGACAATTATGGCAATAATGTATCGTTGCTAATGGTTATTTTCGCAGGCAAACTAAAAGCAATGTTTTCGACACTAGTTAATTGTGGTGCGACGCTACAGAACTATTTGGCGAAACTAGCCGATAAAAATGAGTTTCTTGATGTGCGTGAAATTTCGGCCAGCCACGCAACAAATGTGATAGCTTCGGTAGCATTCGGTATCGATGTTGATTCAATAAATAATCCGAACAACGAGTTCCGAGTTTGCGGCCGTAAAATATTCGAATTAAGTCTATCAAATGCTATTCGCACCCTAATGACATTTACAGCGCCAAAATTATTAGGATTACTACGCATCAAATCCATTCAATCCGACGTTGAGTCGTTTATTAATTCCGTTGTAAAGCAAACTCTGGTGTATCGAGAGACAAATAACGTTTCGCGAAAAGATTTCTTTCAACTTCTCATTCAGCTCCGAAATACTGGAACTGTTCAATTGGACGATCAATGGGATACAGTGATTAAAGCAGATGAAAATCAAAAGACGATGACTTTCAATGAAATTGCAGCACAAACGTTTGTCTTCTTCGCGGCTGGTTTCGAAACTTCTTCGACCACTTTAACTTTTTGTATGTACGAATTAGCGAGAAATCCAGACATTCAAGAGAAGGTGCATGACGAAATCATCAGCGTTATTGAACGACACGGAGGAGAAATCACGTATGAATGTGTCTCGGAGATGAAATATTTGGAAAAATGTATCGATGGTATGGGACTTATTATGTTCAAGTGAAGAAAGACAAAAATTATCATTTGATTTTCATTTTTTCTGATTTGCAGAAACACTACGGTTGTACGCAGTTGCCTCTTTCTTGACCAGGTCATGCGTTAAAGAATATCACATTCCTGGTACAAATCAAGTGATTGAGAAAGGTGTTGAAGTATTCGTTCCTGTGTTCAGTTTGCACCGAGATGAAAAATATTACGAGACCCCACTCGAATTCAATCCGGATCGATTCAATGAGACGAATTCTGAAGGCAAAAATCAAATAAATAAGCCCTATATACCATTTGGGGACGGACCAAGGAATTGGTAAGCATTGTTTATACGCAAAATACTATCAATTCGTCTTTCTCATTTAATTTGTTTATTTCAAAATAAAAAATCTTTCCGAATTTTAAAGCATTGGTATGAGGTTGGGCAAAATGCAAACCAAGGTTGGATTGGTGATGTTGCTGCAGAAATTCAAGTTCGAATTGGAAGATAACCGCAAGAATCGTGAATTGGTCATCGATCCAAAGTCATTCTTGCTTTCACCACATGGAGGATTGATGCTCAAAGTTTCCAAACGATAAAAGCCGCTAATTATTATAATAATTATTGCAATAACTAAAATACATAGAAGATAATAGCAGTGCATGTCGATGATTCAAAATTATTCAAACTCATTGATCAATCAGGATTACCAACACACAAACACACTCCGGTCTTAAGTTACCACTAGAATATTTGCTGATGAAAAATACGGTACATTTTCGTTGTCCGTGTTTCTCCTTGACTCATTTATTACATTTGGATTCTTTTTTCGTTACACTAATTATACAATGGCAATAAAATTATCGAAAAATAAATGCACATGGTCACATTTCTTGAATATTTTAAATAGATTTTGGAAAAATAATTGAATTTTGATATCATTTTTTCCGGAGAAAAAAGAAGAATGTGATAGTTGGATATTTGATATTGTGACCGGTGCAATTGCTCTACTTATTTTGATTCTCCACCGGACATATTCGTATTGGAGTGGCAAGGGATTTCAGTCAGCTTCGGATGTTCATTATTTGTTTGGAAATTTCAAACAACCACATTGCGACGTGTTCACATTACATTTCAATTTGAATTTGATCATTCAAATATTTTTTGTGATTGGGATTCTGAAAAGCTCTATATTACTCTACATTTGAAAAACGAATCTTGTATATTTACATATCTGTAATAAACTTACTGTGAAAAAACTCATTTTGAATAAATCCCTCTGTAAAATTCCCAAAAAATTTAATCAAATCTAAATGTGCTTCATCAAAAATTTGTTGATAAAATTGAATACGCAGGACTGAAGCTGAAGCTGAAGCTGACAACCGTAGATGTATTCATAATATGATGACATGACATGTCATATGATAACGAATGTTTGTTCCGCTTTCAAATTTTGTTCGATGCAATTGACTTCCAAGTTTTTGAATCTATGCAACTGTTATCTTTCCCCCCAAAAGTACAGTTAAAAACAATATAAATATATAAATAATGTCAGGAGTACGTAAACAATCCGAAATGCTTGCTATCAAAAATGGTCTTCATTATGATTGTCAATATTTTCGATCCCAGAAATCAGTTCAGTCATAATTAGTGTTCCCACAAGTATATAGAATCAAAGAGTAGAAAAAAGCCATCTGTTTGCTTTAAAGAGTAAAAAAAAATATTGTGTCAATAAGTGACAGTTGAATATTTCATTGTTTTGACCATTTAAAACGGTGCTCTGCTACTAGTTTTGTTCGTCCACCGGATCCACAATTCGTGTTGGAGTCGCAAGGGATTTAAGTCAGCTTCGAATGTTCATTATTTGCTTGGAAATATTAAACGGGCTTTTTTGCTCAAGTAACATGTGAGAAATCTTCGACTAAAATCGAATGCATGAGTTCTGGATCACGAAGCAGCATTCTTTGGAAAAGATTGTAAGAATGTCAGCACGACAACAACACGACATCAAGTCATGGGGATCGTGATCATGAAAAGGATGCGTGACACCAAATTATGGCTACAATAACTGACTAAGTGACTAGTATGAAAATTTTCGCTATAAATTAGATTGGATAAAATAAAATAAAATAAACTAGTAGTCAGATTGAGCGTAAACGTAACAAAATATGGGTCAGTGCAATGGTATACTCCGATATCCGCAGATACAAGAATAACCACGTGCGCTATATTTCAAGCAGAGAAGTAATTTGCGGACATCTTACACTGAAATAGTTAAATGGGTGATAAATATTGGTTTTTTTATTTGTTGAACATTTTTATGACAAACAGACACGGATAAAATAAAGGAAATGTGTATCGGTAAATAATATCCGTTAAATGGCTCACAGTCGGGTCCATAACATTTGAAACTATTCGAAGGTTGAGGTCAAAGAAAGTGTTCTGTTTGATTTGTGCGGGTAATTCCGTGGTGCTCACTGCTCATTCATATTATAATGTCGCATGCACATTTCGGAGAAAGATAACAGTAATAGCAATTTCAACGATTTTCTTACACGCATTAAGATCTTGGAAGTCAATTGCATCAACAAAACTTGGAAGTGAAATGAACACTCGTCATCATATCACTCGAATACGTCTACTGTTATCAGTTCCAGCTTCAGTACTGCGTATCCACTTTTATTTAATTTCAATCAACAAATTTTCGATGTAACGCTTTTCGGTTTGATTAAATTTTTTGGCATTTTTACAGAGGGATTTTTTGGAGTGAGATTTTTCGCAGTGAGTTTCTTCTTTTTCTTTGAAAGGAGAATGAACTCTCTTCTCCGAAATAAAATTGATGTAATTGAGATGCACGCATGAAATCGGATATGTAAAACATATGATGAAAATATCGCCAACGGAATATAAATGGTTGTTGTGCGCAGTTCAGTTATTCAGATGTGCGACGTTGTGGAGTGAAGTTTATAAATTGAAAAAATATTTTGAATATCCCGAGTTCTGGAAATGAGTTTAATTACTGCCAGTTTGATTGGCGATGCAGTGTTGGTTTTTACAGCTGCAATCAGCTCATTTTACTTGTATCTCCTGCGAAATTATTCGTACTGGGACCGCAAAGGTTTCAAAACACTTCCTGGTTTCATTTATGTGTTTGGACACATGAAATCCACTTTTTCAGGGAAAGATTCCATAGCGAGTTTGATTAAAAAACTTTACAGTGCTACAAATGAACCATTCATTGGAATTTATACCCTACTACGTCCAGTGCTTTTAATTCGCGATCCAGAACTTATTCGAACGATTTTTATCAAAGATTTTAACTATTTCACGGATCGTGGTTTACACTCAAATGAAGAGTATGATCCATTGTCCGGCCATTTATTGGTCTTATCGGGTGAGAAATGGAAAAACTTACGTGCTAAACTAACACCAACGTTCACCACTGGTATGGAAATTGTTTGTATTCTCAAATAATCTCAAGCAGACAATTATGGCAATAGTCACTTGTGTTGTTTTCCAGGCAAATTAAAGGCGATGTTTTCGACACTTGTTGACTGTGGCGAGAGTCTACAAAATCATTTAGAAAAAGTGGCAAACAATGGTGAATTACTTGATGTGCGCGAAACTTCGGCCAGCTACTCAACGAATGTTATTGCCTCCGTTGCATTCGGAATTGACGTTGATGCTATCAGAGATCCAAATAACCAGTTTCGAGTCTATGGCCGCAAAATATTTGCGACAAACGTTTCAAGTACAATTCGACGCCTTTTGGCCGTAGTGGCACCGAAATTAATGGAAGTTTTGCGCATCAAAACATTAAGTACGGATATTCAGAACTTTTTCACTTCGTTGGTGAAAAAAAATCTAGAGCTACGTGAACAAAATAATATTGTTCGCAAGGATTTCTTTCAACTCCTCATTCAGTTGCGTAATACTGGAACAGTCCATTCGGATGACCAATGGGAAACGGTAATTAAAACAGATGAGAATCAAAAGCAAATGACTATCAACGAAATCGCCGCACAGTCACTCGTATTTTTTGGCGCTGGATTCGAAACATCATCGGTAAGACATTTTTGAGTGTAATGTAATTATAGAGCACACAGAACCTGGCGATATTATAGAAACAACATATTTTCTATTTCTATTTTTTTTTTCAGACCACTTTATCATATTGTTTGTATGAGTTGGCAAAAAAGCCCGAAATTCAGCAGCGAGTACATGAGGAAATCGATCAAGTTTTAGAGAAGCATGATGGTCAGATTTCCTACGAGTCCATATCTGAGATGAAGTTTTTGGAAAATTGTATTGAAGGTACACTAATTTCGTCTGTTTTTTTGTCAATTCTAAGAAACATTCTAATTTCGCAGAAACGCTACGAAAATATCCACCAGTTCCGATTCTTCCGAGACTTTGTGGACAAAACTACCAAATACCTGGTACAAATCAAGTCATTGAAAAAGGTACCCAGGTGATGATTCCCGTTTTCGCACTTCATAGAGACAATCAGTATTACGAAGATCCGGAAAAGTTCATGCCCGAGCGTTTCAATGAAGAAAATTCGGCCGGCAAAAATATATTGAATAGGCCGTACATTCCATTTGGTGTAGGTCCAAGGAATTGCATAGGAATTAGGATGGGAAAGATGCAAACCAAAGTCGGACTCGTATTGATGCTACAAAAAATCAGATTCGAATCGGAAGATAAGCAGAGGAACAATGAATTGGCTTTCTCGTCAAAAACTTTTATTCTCACTCCAACTGGTGAAATTAATCTTAAAATATACAAACGTTGAATATTGTCACTATGCAATTCATTGAATTCCTATTCGTAGGGGAAAAAATCAAATCAGTTAATTTCATTCAAAGTATACAAATAAATTCAACACAGATTCAGATGTTTGAAGGCTGCTTGTAAATTAAACCTATGACTTTTATTCATTTTTACTCATCTATTCTGTGCACATTACAGACGTCCTCGTTTTGGGAGTGCAGTCTTCGTTTGTGATAGCGGTCCTTGTATTCTTGAAGACTTTCGAATTTAATCAAAATGTCCTCGTTGTTGCCGGGTGAAAAAATTTCAAAAGTTTATTTAAAAAACGGTAAAATACGAGAGGAAAATGAGGCTGTGAGAATGAAAATGGCAATACAGGAATAAACATTCTGAAACGCATCAAGAAAAAAAATACGCAAAAATGAATAATGAGTTCTGAATATGCAAAAGTGAAACATGACTTTACATGAGCAGCATAGGAGGTTCATGGTTCACTTTTGCGTATTCAGAACTCATGATTCACTTTTGTGAATTTTTTTTTCTTGATGCGCTTCAGAATGTTTATTCCTGTATTGCCATTTTCATTCTCACAGCCTCAAATGATGTCCACATTCAAAAATTCTTCAAAATGAATAACTCAATTTGAATTACGTATTGTTTCGTTTATATCAGATTTCTTAAACTTGATATTATTGACTCAGTTCTCATTTACATTTCAGTGTTTTCGACTATAAAAGAATTATTTATTTGACACGAAGTGGTTGCTGTTTTCATTTGGTTTATTCTGCTGTACGCACACACACTAAGAAACAAAAATAAACTATTTCCATAAAGTCTTGGTCAGGTGATTAAAATAGCCGAAACATTTTCGTTGAAAAATTTTAATCTATATTTAGATCTCTTAAAAAAAACTACTCTGATTGAATATGCTTGGTAACGCAATTCTCATTAAAGTGTTGCTGAAAACAGCAGGATGAAATGCTTCCTTGATAGGATGATTGTTTATCAAAATAAAAAAAAAATGGATCGGCAAATTCAACGAAAAACCTAAAATATTTATATTATAGCTGTATTTCTCTTATTTTGTCATTAAATTTCATTTTAAATTAAAAGTTGAAAAGCAAAAATAATGCCCTCGTTTTCCGCGAGGAAAATCTGTGCACATTACCTACCTAACAGATCACTTAACCAGATCCTGTCCGTGCGCTCTTTGCGTCCTGGTGCAAAATTGTCAGGGCGCCCTTTTCTTAGGATGAAATGAAATAGACTCAAAATTGTCTCAAAACGAAGGCGCGCTAGCCAAATTTTTTTTGTCATTTCAAAAATATATATAAGCTGATCAAATGCTTTTGGTGCATTCGGCGCTCTCGACGCCTGAATTTTTCTACGTATTTTCGGAAAATTTAAGCAATTAAGCACAAGCGCTCCAATTTTTCTGCCAGTTTGCAGAAATTTCAGCGCTCACGCGCCTTCGGCGCCCCAGCGCCGTGGTGCAGCGCACCACTTGCGCCCTATCTGGGACAGGCTCTGCACTTAACAATTTAAAATTATCTTAATGCTTGCGCGATTTTAGACTGACAGAGATAGAGAATAATGACAATCGTTTTTATTCAAAATTATTCAAACCATTAATCAAAGTTATTAGTTTATCAATTCGAAAATAATTTTGTAAGATGTCTATAAATATCTTTATTCATTCTAATGTGTCTGCATAAAATATCAGCTCGTTTGTAATAATACAAAAGCATTTTTTTCGATTAAATGTCTCCAACACATTTGAATGAAACTGAACATGGTACATATCTATAAATGGTTAAGATTGAAAAAAGTAGAGTATGTTTTCAAACGGTGGATACATCTTGAAATAATTTATTTGTTTTCAAGAGATATACGACAATTGAGCCATTGCGACAAACAAATTCCCTCAGAATATTTTAGTTTTAAAGTGCAACATAAAGTTTTTTTCATATGGAATTGTTGTTGTAAACTCTATATGAAAAAAAAATTCATGTTGCACTTTGGAACTAAAATATTCTGAGGGAATTTGTTTGTCGCAACGGTTCAATTGTGTGTTGCAAAGCTGTAAAATATGACAAGACCAGCAATTTTTGCATAAACGCAAATTCGATATTTCTTGTTTTTAAAGTGAAAATCGCAAAAAACCCGAGTAAAACATATTCTACTTCATCGAAATATAAGTCGTTAAAAACAAACACTACTCACAATCTCACCCACAGATTTGATACACACACAGAAAAAATGTTATGAATCTTAGTATTAGTGATTCTTTTTATTGAATCTATACCATAGTTTCTTTTACCACTCCATAGAATTTTTTCGTTCACACAACCAAAGTTTTTTTTCTTCAATGAAAACAATTTGTGTAAAGAGCGGATGAAGATGAATAGATACAAATCATAAAACTTTCAGATACAATCAAAGTTGTATTGATTAATTTTCGACTTGACGCTGCATTGGAAATACTGTACTTTTAATCGCTCTTTTTATCATCAAGTGTGTGTTTAAAATGTATTCGTTTTCTGTAAATTTGCTACTCTTTCAATCATAAGCTCAGGAATGCGATTGCAATTGAAACCGCAGTCAAATCACATTGAGTGGGTTGTGCAAAAAAGCACAATAAAAGTACATTATGGAGTTGTTGCAAAAAAAAAATCACCTAAAACTAGGCAATGCAAATCTCTATAAGCGAGAGTTGTGGACTCATATAAGAATATTGTCAGGGTCGCTAGAAGCTTTATTCGCAACTAAACGACCAAGAATAGAAGATTTTGGTGAAAAGCAAATAACACCAATGAAACAGGAATCAGTAAAACTACATTTGAACGAATCACCCAAAAACCTCATGTACCGAAACTATGAGCTCATTTAGCATAACATATATTATCTTAACATCGCAATAAGTTGAGTATAATCAATTTTGATTGAAAATAGCTGTGTGGGTATGAGTTCACATATACTAGAATGCTATAGCTAACTATTCTGAGTAAGATCGCCAAAGCGTCGAAACAAACACACTAATGAAAATGAATGAACTGAACATAGACGATTGTTAGTGTATAAATAATAGTGCTCGGTAACGCTGTAGCTCAGTTGCGATATAAGCATCCAGGCAAAAACAGTGAAGAGTTTATTTTGCAGTGATCAGAGTTCAGTGTACAAGAGATAAGCAATATTAAATGGGAATGATCCAAACAAGTGACTGTTTCAAGTGTGATGTTGTTGTGGTTTTTCTTTTGGGTGCATTAACGCTGCTATATTTATTTCTCAAATGGAAATATTCGTATTGGGCTCGAACTGGTTTTAAAACACTTCCAGGTTTTAATTATATTGTTGGGCATATAAAAGAAACCGCCCTACAAAAAGAATCAATAACGAACGTTCTGTTGAAATTGTACAAGGCAACCGATGAGCCCTACATTGGCATTTATACGTTATTTCGCCCAGCTTTGATGATTCGTGATCCAAAATTGGCGCAGGCAATCCTCATCAAAGACTATTTACACTTTCCAGATCGTGGCATTCATTCCAATGAAAGTTATGATCCACTATCTGGAAATTTAGTTGCTTTGCCATTTTCCAAATCGAAAACATTGCGAGGGAAATTGACACCAGCATTTACTTCAGGTACGTGTGATTGTCTCTATCCTCAAGCCCATGGCATACTCTTGACAGCACTTATTTTGTCTTTTCGTAGGCAAACTTAAAGCAATGTTCCCCACACTGCTCGATTGTGGTTCAATGCTACAGAGTTATCTAAAAAACCTGGCAAATAAGAGTGAATTGCTTGATGTGCGAGAGATATCAGCCAGTCACGCAACGAATGTTATTGCTTCGGTTGCATTTGGCATTGACGTGGACACGATCAGTGAACCGAACAACGAGTTTCGTGTCTGTGGCCGAAAAATTTTCGAATGCACCATTCTGAATGGAATTCGAAAGCTTATCAACGTTGTATTGCCAAATCTACTGGATTTGTTGCGCATTAAATCGTATGATTCGAGCATTGAACGCTTCATAATGTCCGTCGTCAAAATGAATTTGATGTATCGAGAACAAAATAATATTGTTCGCAAAGACTTTTTCCAGTTGTTAGTGCAATTGCGGAACAGTGGAACTGTACAATTGGACGATCAATGGGAAACGGTGATCAAAACCGATGAAAAACACAAGGAAATGACCTTGAACGAAATTGCCGCTCAAACGTTTGTCTTCTTCGCTGCGGGATTTGAAACGTCATCGAGCACACTCTCATTTTGTTTGTATGAATTGGCAAAGAATCCCGACATTCAGCGGAGAGTGCACGAAGATATTGACAACGTTTTAAAAGAGCATGATGGAAACATAACGTATGAATGCATGTCGGAAATGAAGTTCTTGGAAACGTGCATTGAAGGTTAGGAATTATTTTCCTGCTCGTTTTTGTTTTGGAAACAATTTTTGAATTTATTTCGTTTTCTAACAGAGACACTCCGAAAATACCCTGTTGCATCTGGGTTGCCACGATCGTGTGTTAAAGACTACCCAATACCTGGAACGAATAATGTAATCAAGAAAGGAGCTGAAGTGATTATTCCCGTAATAGGATTCCATCAAGATGAACGATACTTCGCGGATCCAGAAAAATTCATGCCCGAGCGTTTCAATGCAGCAAACTCAGCTGGAAAGAATCAAATAAATCGGCCATTCTACCCGTTCGGAGATGGCCCGCGAAATTGCATCGGTGGGTTACGAAAATCGTTAACTGTAATGAAATCGTCGACTCTTTTATGATAAAATAAATTGTTTTTCTTTTTCCAGGCATGAGATTGGGCAAAATACAAACATTAGTCGGCCTTGTTTTGATGTTACAACATTTTCGATACGAATTGGATGAAAAACTTAAGGATCGAGAATTAAAATTTGACCCAAGATCTCTTTTACTTAAACCATTGGATGTCATCAATCTGCAAATTTTCAAACGCACACCACATAGTACGACTGATGCGTGATTATTAACACGTTTGTTAAGGTTGCACGAAGTATAAGACAAATCAACAATTTTGTCATTAATACAATTATTTTTAATGATTTAATCGCTCTAAGTGGTTAGATGTGTGGTTGTGAAGTGTTTATATATTTCGCTTGTTTTCCGAAACATTATCATCTTTCGTTTGTAAATATTATTCTTAGAAAAATCACAAAGCATTTCTATATAATTAAGAAAGAATAAATAAATCTCATTTTTGCACTTTATTCCATCATAAATGAGCAAAAATCTCAGACATTTCTTTCTGCAATCAGTATTTTACGCTCTGCCCACTGTTTACAAACATTTTTATCACTTTTCTGTGATGATTCATCAGTAGAAATGATGCCAATACAAAATAATATAGAAATAAATGCGAAATACAGCGATTTTAAAACGAATCGTCGATATTATAAAAAAAATCATTGAAATCATTTCCTTTTATTTCAATTGATCGATAAAAGGTCGTGTTGCTAGTCATGTTATCATTTAATTGTAATTGTAATTGCAACTATCGATTGTGTCAATTGCTGTAGCAGAATAAATTCTTCGAAACCCAAGCGAAACAGTAAGATAAGATTCTATCGTGACGATGAATTTCATCGTGGACTAGCGGCTAGCGCATGTACAGTGTACAATGTACACTTCACCTTTCTCACTGCTGCTGTGTTAAACATAAGTAAACGGTTCACGCACATCAATATATGGCTGTATGCATGCGCTATGGAGCTACAGTCATGTATCGGTGTGCGTGCATAGCATACTATGTTTAACACAGCAGCAGTGAGAAAGGAGAAGTTTTGCACACACACGCTCGCCGCTAGTCCACGATGAAATTCATCATCACGATAGAATCTCATCTTACTGTTCCGCTTGGGAAGGCGTCAAAGTTTTTGTCACTGATTCGGTTAAATAAATTTTCGTCTGAAAAAATGACAAAATCGTCGGAAAAAGTAGGAGAAGCTGTCGCCAAACGAGTTTAAACTGGTTTAAACCAGTTTAAAACCCCGATTTTGTTGAGCATTTTTCATATGATTTGTCACCTTTAAAGTCTTTTTTACATGAATTTGGCACAATTTCAGATGGATATATTATATAATATATATTATGGTTTGCCATAGACGTTTTTCTGAATTTGAACGACAATTTTTTCATTACCTTAAACGTTTTTGTAATACGCCTAATAATAAGTGCTATTAAAAGTAATTTATTTAATCTTTTTTTTCTATCGTCTGTTACTTTACTTCAGTAGTGCGATAGTGTTATCAAAATGGTGCTTCTGTGTGTTTGCTATACACCTGTTCAATTTGAAACACCTGTCCTGATGACTGGCATAACATTTTGATGTTGATTTTTACAAATCCGTACGAAAAGTACCGTGAAACCCATGATTGCTGAGTGGATTGTTCATGTTAGTTGATAAAATGAAAACTGTCGCTTTGAATGATCAAAAAAAAAAATCGAAATTGTCAGTCAACGCCTGCTGAACGATATCACCATCAGTGCTAAAAATACACTTTCATTATACTCATATCAATTTGGCATTAAAAAAAGTAGTATTGTACATTTATATGTTTAAGTGAATGTATTTGTTATCAGAATCTCAAACGTTCAAGTGTTGCTTTCAGTATATCAGTTGATGTATAAATATCAGTGCTAGCGAAGCGCTTAACGCAGTTATTGTAGAAATTTTTCGAAGGACGTAGTGAAAACATAGAACCAATTTCAACATAGATCAGTGGAGAAAAAAAATGGCTCTGTTAACAAATAGTTGGACAATAGATTTATTGTCACTATTCATTGGTGTCTTTACAATCCTGTACTTATATGCCAAACGACAATACTCGTACTGGGATAGGAAAGGTTTCAAAACCTTACCAGAAGTGAGCTATATATTCGGACATTTCACAAATTCATTTTTGCAAAGAGAGTACTTTGGTGAGCTCTTTGCTAGACTCTACAAAACGACAGATGAATCGTTTATCGGTGTTTACAGTATATTACGCCCGATGTTACTACTTCGAGACACTGAACTCATCCAATCGGTTTTAATAAAAGACTTTTCACACTTTACGGATCGTGGTGTTCATTGCAATGAAGAGTTTGATCCGATGTCGGCGAATTTAGTTGGATCACCTGGTCAGAAGTGGCGTAATCTACGTTCGAAACAGTCACCCGCCTTTACGTCGGGTAAATTGATAAGAGATAGATCAACAATAAATTATGTATTTTTTTCAATGTGGTCGATAATTTTCTTTTTCAGGGAAGCTCAAAGCAATGTTTAGCACTTTGGTCGATTGCGGTGTTGGTTTACAAAAATATCTAGAGAAATTGGCCAAGAATAAAGAACAAGTTGATGTGCGTGAGATAACAGCGTGTCATCAAACGAATGTGATTGCATCGGTTGCCTTCGGTATTGATGTGGATTGTGTTAACGATCCGGGCCACGATTTTCGCAAATACGGTCGTATGGTCTTAGAATTAAAGGGTTGGAATGCCATTCGGTTTGCGATGAATTTTATCGCGCCCAAGCTTATGACTTTCTTCCGCATCAAGTGCCTTGATCAACGTGTAGAGGATTTCGTTAAATCGATGGCAAAACAAACGTTAGACTATCGAGAGCAGAACAATGTCTGCCGAAAGGATTTCTTCCAATTGCTGATTCAGTTGCGAAATACGGGATCAATTCAGTTGGATGATGAATGGGAAACGGTGATTAAGGCCGACAAGAAAATGACTTTGAACGAAATTGCAGCGCAAACGATCGTATTTTTCGCAGCTGGCGTAGAAACATCATCAACAGCTCTTACGTTTTGTATGTACGAGTTGGCGAAAAATCCTGATATTCAGGCACGAGTGCACGAAGAAATCGATCGAGTCTTAGAGAAACATGACGGTAAAATTACTTATGAATCCATGTGTGAGATGAAGTACTTGGAGGCTTGTGTTGATGGTAAGCGATTTCTATCGATTGATTGACCATTCATCAAATTATTGACAAATTACTTCATTACAGAGGCACTTAGGAAATATTCCGTAGCACCGATGCTGGAACGCACTTGCGTCAAAGACTACACTATCCCAGGAACTGAACTTGTGATTGAAAAAGGAATTGATGTACTAATTCCAATTTATGCCTTGCAGCATGACGAACGCTATTGGGAAAATCCAAGCAAATACGACCCGGAACGATTCTACAATGCTGAGTATTCTGTTGGAAAAAATCAAGTGAATAGACCCTATTATGCTTTTGGCGATGGACCGCGAAATTGCATTGGTGCGAGACTTGGTCACTTGCAAACTAGAGTCGGAGTAATCATGCTGTTGCAAAAGTTCCGATATGAACTGGAGGACCGGCTCAAAAATGAAGAGTTGAAATTTGACCCTCGAGCTTTTCTCTTGTCTCCTTTAGGTGGACTTAAGCTGTATGTGTTTGAGCGATAAATTTTAACTGCGTCACTTCAGCGTATCATAAAAAATGTCTTGAGTGTACTTCTCATTTGTCGATTATTGCCAAAGACTTTCAACCATTGTGTTTGCTTTGCTAGAAGAATTTGTGCACGTATTGTTCACATGCCAATCATATATTAAACTATTTCACATGACTTTGTGCCGGCAATCAGTAAAAAAGCAATAAAAGTTCAAAACAATACCTTATTCATTTGTTTGTTTGAATTTTGCGAAAAAGGTAAGAAAAACTTTTCAATTTTTTCTTCTTCATAAAACAATGTAAATAATGAGAAATTGACTAAATAGCGGTAATTTCAACGATTTCTTAACTGAAATTCGACATCATATAAAATATTTGAGCATTCAAATCTTCAATGTAATATGTCCATAGAAATTTTCGATATCTTAGTTTGTTGAAAAGCTAATCAGACGTCAGGACACGAAATGCCACTGCTGAATATTTTTCGAAATTGAACATTTTTTCTTGGTATCTTTGAAATTTAAAACGTTCAATTTGTATTTACATACATATTCCTGAATTGAACGTTTGCGTATTTGAAGTGACCAATTCCAATTATCAAGTGAGTCAACCGCAGTAACAGAATTCTTAGAAATTGAAACGCGTCAAAGTCCTTTATCTATTTTTTCATAAATTGATAGTGATAAGTGCTATTAAAAGCAATCAATTTAATCGTTTTTCCCCTATCGTCTGGTTCTTTATCTCATCGGTGCGAAAATATTATCAGTTTTCTGTACACCTGTTGAATTTGAAACACCTGTTCGATGAGTGACAGAAATTCCATATTGACATTGATTTTCACAAATCCATGTGAAACGTTCCGTGAATGTTATAATTTGCAAAGTTATTTCCTACGTACGTTTAGACTAGGGGTTTCACGCAACTTAAAATTCATCTAAAATTTCAATATTTCTCTCTTTTCTCTAAAATTCTCTGGGATTCACCAAAATCCGTATTATTTCGAAATATTTCAACATTCACCTTGAAAATTATGTTCTGGAAGTGGGTTTTGGTGGATCCTCAGGATGGATCAGACTGGGTTTGACAATGCCCTGGTCCATCCTGCGGATCCACTTCCAGAACCAGGAGCGGTTTTGAACAATCCACCAAAACCCACTTCTAGAATTTTTAGATTCAAAAAATTCTAAAAAATTCGAGTTTATGAATAAAAAGAAGCAATATCTATAGTTTACACATAAAATGGTTTTATTTCCAGCTATTTAGTAAAATCTTCGGCCTTCGAGTTTGCGTGAAACCCCTAGCGTTTAGAAGTGTATTACTCGAGTTAATTGATAAAATACAACTGAAGCTTTAAAAAAAATGAATAAAATTGTAAGTGAACGCCTGCTGCCAACAAGTACATTTTTATTATAGTCGTACGCATTCATATATGAATCGTAGATTATACAAGTTCAATTCATATTGTTTCAGCAATTGGTAAAAAAAGCCCTGTACTTTTATTGCTTTTTTTCACTAACAGAACAGAATCATATCTAATTCATTCATTTGTTTGACCCTTTCAGAAAAGAGTAAGACGGGAAATCAGAACAAAAGTAAAAGCCAATAATAATTTTTCAATATTTATTTATAAAAACAATGTAAATAACGATAAATTTACAAATAGCGGTAATTTCAACATTTTCTTAAATGTAATTCGATATCATGTAAAGCATCTGAGCATATTTAAAAACAAGAAAGAGCCCAAAACTGGTAGCTTCTGGCTATAGTTTTGAGCCAACCGTTTGAGCTATAATATCTTACGAACTGTACTCAATATTCTTTCTTCCTGCTTCTTCTTCTTCTTCTCCTTCTTTTCTTGTCAAAGTATGTTTAATCTTTAGATTCATTAATATTTATGAGAAATGTAAAGAAGTCTATTCTCCAGAGAAAAGAAAATATATGTGTTCGTTTCGAGCGACCAATAATGTCGTTCCATTCATTTTAAACTCAAATAAATTATTAATTCTATCCATAAATGTCTCGTTTAAAATCGTTTAAATACAGAAAAATTGTATTTGTTCTTATCGTTTTGTTTTGTTTTTTTTTTTTTTTTGCTTGAAATCGTTCGATTGAAATGTGCGAAGTATCGCTTTGCAGAGAGAATAGTTTCCAACTAAAAAAAATGAAATTATCTGATGAGCTCAAGCAGCCAAAAAAATATATCTGTGTAATATTTTCGATGAAAACACGCTTTCTGAACACGACGCCATTTTTCGACTAGAAAATTCGTGGATTTGTTTGTGTGTTTGCTGATGATGTCATATTGTTTAAAGCGGATCGGCGGGAATTTCGAATTGGTATGGAAATGAAGACCGACGTGATTTTGGCTTTGAAAACGATGCGACAACTGACGGTACGGATTTAGCGGGCGGTTTGTATGTTGGCAAACTAATACGAACTACTTTCAGATTGTCATCGTTTTTGATTGCCTCAGCATTTGTATAGTAATTTGATGACGGTGATTGTGGTGATGGCATGGATCGACCTTGGTTTGTATCCTGAAAGTTTAGAAACGGTGCTGATGATGTTCGCTTTTCTCTAACTCGCAATAAGCTTAGAATATTTTTCGAACCACGCGAATCGATCACCACATTTTGCGCTTCATTTGAATCGGATCGCTTGATATCAGCGGCGGCGGCGGCAGCAATGGTGGTGGTGGTGATAGTTGTGGTAGTTGCATTCCCTTTTTCGTTGGGATCACTGAACTCGGTGTCGAATTCATCATCGGAACTATCTACAATGAATACAGTATCGTTTAGAACAGGTGGTAAATTGATTCGACGCTCACGAATGACTGTTTCATTTCTAATATCACCTATTTTCGGTATATATTTCGGTCGCCTCTGATTCGGTTCCTCGCGATCGACGCCAAAACCAAAAAAACGCGGCGCTTGCTCGGAAATGAGTGGCAACAGGGTTTCACGTGCGTATTTTTCGGCCCGTTGAAATATTTCACCCAATCGGAATGGCAGCAATTGAACATTAAAATAGGTATTGTCACGTGTTGTGCTCGATTCAAATGGAACTTGTTTCATTTTTCGATTGCGAGCAGTTGTGGCCTTGAGAATGGGCTCCATAATCTCTTCCTCGGCAAATATACTCGTTTTCTTATTATCGCCGTCAATGTTAAACGATCGACCGGTGTGGGCTTTTGCGCGTGGACGATCCTTCAGGATCGGTTCATAGATTTCACCCGGTGCATACGATTGCAAACTACGGCTTGATTCGGCCGAATTGCGTTCCAGCGAATTGCCATTCTCCAAAGTCGGTTGCCATGGCAAATTTCCCTTATTATTCGAATAGGTGTATGTTTTGTTGTTATCGGTAATTTTATAATTTGTACCTAGATTTAAAACATTCTTTTTCTCTCTCAGTTTGTCCACATCGTCTGCATTGGTTGCGCCATCGCCATTCTTTGGATTACCCGTTTCGAATGGTGTGAATGTCACGTCGTTCTCATCAGTGATTTGACAAATGTCCGGCTGCAGTTTGATCGTTATTGGATTTCCCGATTCCAGAAGCATATAATTTTGACACATCGAATAGCTGTTGCCGTAATAGTCGGTCAACACAATTTTATTGATATTCCAATGGGGCAGTCCTTTGCTCAACCAACCGCTGTACGTTTTGTACGTTAACGAAACACTTTTTGGGAAACCAAGCGCCGGATGTGGCACCAAAATTCGAGATATTACATCACCAGCAAACAATTCAGCATCATCTTTGTCCGTGATACTGAACGTTTCGTTCAACGAATGTTCACCGTGAAGTGTTGCCTCGATTTTGCCAATCGTTCGCAATGGCAAATCACTTTCGGACGTATGAATTTCAATGTGGAATTGATGCGCGCAGAATGGCTCCTCTTCTCTCGTTATCAAATACAATTGCCCGCGTCCCGTTGATTTATCCGCGTAATAGCCCATGTTTCCACAGCGCGAGTCATTGTAATTGGATTCATCGCATGGGAAACAATTTCCTTTCAGGAAATCATCGTAAGTGTCGCATGGGAAGGCAGGAAACAAGCATTTCGATGCAATTGAATCGATAAAGAATTTGTATGCACGTCGATGATTGCACAGCGATCGACCTTCAACAACACTCGGCGCTACAAATCGAAAGAAAAGTGATTGTGAGTTTTGCTGCAGAGATAAGATAGCGAATAAAGTATGAAAACTTACACCAAATAAAATCAGTAACAGCACCCACGAAAATGTTCGAACATCCAGTCTGTACGCGGCCTCCATTCGGATAAAAGTCTGTTGAAAGATGCAAAAGTTTAGTGAATTCGTTCAAGAATAAAGTTGATCATTTGAATTATTTGTAAGTTGTAAACTCACCAGCATCGCCCATTGGTTGCCATGATCCTATTTGGAAGAAATGAACAAAAACTCATGATTAAAATGCATTTTAAATGGAAAACAAGTCCTCTCAGGAAATAAAAACATACCTAATCCACCAAGAATCAAGTTTTCGCCATTCGAGTGAATGACGTCAACGAAATTCGCGTCGCTACTATCCAAACGGGCTTTGATGTGCTGCGATTCGAATAATGGGCCAGCTGGATCCAAACCTACAATCAAAAGTGCATTCACATTTACAATCGAGTTTCAATACAAGGAAATACAAATTCATTGACGATTTTACCTGTGATCCTTCTCAAACCGGGTAGCTCTGAACCAGCAAAGCCACTCACATGGGCACCCAAACTGAACCCAATAATATGCACGCGGTTCAAATCCAATTTTTTATGCTCTTGAAGGTTTTTCATCAAAAATGACAATTGTTTGCCAATCAAACGGGTATTTGCAGCAGCTCGCACGTAATTCGGTAAACTGGCTCCAGCTTCCCAGTCGACGCAAATCACGATACAGTCTTCCTGTAATGCGATAAGTGGAAATAATGCGGTTTAAATTAACTGTTCGTATTAATACACAAGTACATTGATGAATACTTACAACTGCCATCAAAGCGGTTCGCATTTCATAAATCCACACATGATGGCAAGCCGCACCAAATCCATGCACAATCACTCGAACCGACATCCGATCGAAGCCATCGAATGCTTTCAACATGATGATATTTTTCATTAATTCGGGCGTTAAATCCGATGAATTGCTTGGGAATCGAGAATCAGTGGTATTGTCTTTATCATGGCTGATCTCGTAAAACATGCGACTCATGTTGAGGTATGGAATTTCAAACAAAGGCTTGTCGCTGCGATTTTCCGTGGAATAGAAATTAAATTTGGTGCCAATTTCTTCAGGCGATTGTGGTAACATATCCAAATAACCGAATGGGCCCGAGTCTTCGAAACAGCCCAATTCACCGTAGCACACCCGCTTTTCGGCCCGCTTTTGCCGATGATGACGATGTGATTTTTCATAATCGTGCATTGACTGTTGCACCGCATTCAAAATTTTCATGTCGTTCAGCTCATCTTGAAGCTCTTGCTGTTGTGTCGGCCATCTCGCTGCTACATCTGTGAGTGATTGGTAGAGGAAAAAAACAAAACATTTCAAATGAAATTTATTGAATGTATTTTTTGTGTGTTAAAGTAAAGGTGTCAGAAGGACGAACAGCGGACGGACATTTCGTGTCCGTCCGTCCGTTTTGGGGTTCAAGGACGGACATTTCATTTTGTCCGTCCGTTTCGAATTCAAGGACGGACAATTTCGTTTTGTCCGTCCGTTTAATATTCAAGGACGGACAATTTCATTTTGTCCGTCCGTTTAGAATTCCAGGACGGACAATTTCATTTTGTCCGTCCGTTTAGAATTCAAGGACGGACAATTTCATTTTGTCCGTCCCGACGGACATTTCGTCTATGTCCGTTTGATTCATTTATAATATTTTGTATAAAACAGTATCAGAAATGAATTCTCCGTCCAAAAATAAGTGATAATAGCTTATCAGATGTTTGAAAAATTCAATTTTCGGTTGTTTTTCGGACGACCAAGATGCTAAACGGACGGACAAAATGAAATTGTCCGTCCGAAAAAAAATCACAAAAGGACGGACGGACAAAATCTGTCCTATTGACACCTTTATGTTAAAGTCGATACGAAATTCATGACGTGAATCCACCGGAAGGAAAAAAACATGTGAATTTATTGAAGCGAATCATTTTCGCCAGTCTTTTGAAGGCTGATAGCTAGCTAGATAGATCAATTATAAGCTTTTTTTCGTTTCAATTTAGGCGTTATTCGTTATTTGTTGAGATCAATCTTTTTCGGTGTGACGTGCGGTCAAAGTCCCTGATTAGCATTTTTTTCACGCATAAAATGCAGATCAAAATCCAACATAAGCACTAAACGTCTCATTAATGAAATGAAAACGAATGGCCACACGACGCTCAATTTCGCCACGGCGTGAAAGAAGAAATCGAAAGAAAGTTTTCCCTTTCTTTATGTCATTTTTAGTTAGACGCATGATAATAAGAAGAAAAAAAGTAAATAAAGCAAACCGAAACACCGCTCGACTAGACACAACGGCGCAAAATCGCATCTAAACATAAAATAAACAAACGATAACGTCGTTGTCGTTGTCATCGTCGACCACGGCAAATGTGTGAAAAGGAAAAAAATTATTTAACCTGACCCACATTGCGCGCGTATGAGTCGAGTACGTCTGTAAGCAGGTGCAATTAAAATCCATCGAACCACATTTTGTTCGTTCGGCGGTGATTTGAGATAGTTTCCGAGATCTCGAAACGTACATAGAATATTACCACAGTTATCGATGCATGCAGAAAAAACCCGTTTATTCATTTTTTTTAGTTCGTTCGTTGTAACAAACCATTTTATTGATCGAACGGAAAGAGCGACAAAAATGTGCTTAACAGACACACAAAACAAGAGCCAGACCGCGAACTGCGAGCACATGAGCTGCAGCCTCACAGACAGTGAAAAGTGAAATTAACGATTGAAAACGTCGTCGTCGCAGAAAACACGAATATCAATTAAAATATAGCGTTCCGGAGATTCTTGCCGTATGTGTACACGTCTCTATTTGTCTGTCGCTTTCATTTGGGAAAAGTGAAACATTGCGCGGCAATTTGCTTCTTTTTCATCGCATTCAAAAATGGATGGCAATGATCTTTTTCATCATTTCACATCGATGAAGAAACGAAACAAAATGATTGAAAGAGTGAGCCCGATGCTTAGATGCATCGCAAACGCCTCTGCATTGAGCTAAAAATCATTGGATTTTCAGTGCGTGAAATTGATCACGCTTTTTAAGCAATCAGTGGCTTATCATTGGAAACAACAACAAGAAACAAATAAGATAAACCAAAGCAAAACCAAACCATATGGAAATGCAGGCGGCGGCGGCGGTGTGCAATTGTTTTGTTCTCTCTCTTCAAGTTCCAAATGATGATCACATTAAAATTTGCAAACCATTTTAACCCACATTCCTTTGCAGATGCTGATAATTGCGCATGAACCGAAGTTGAGATGGAGTCAATTCAATAACAACTCATGGTTTCGGTGTGTTTGCCATTTTCTAATGCAAAGAAGAAAGCAAAAGTGGTCAAACTACACATTTTCACTTGATGAGATTAGCATTGGATTAAATTGAGTTGGATTTACACATGTGCGCTAGCCACTTTTGATTACACCCAGCCCGACGAGAAATTTGCGGAATATCGCATTGCGACTATTCTACGTATAGTCGCAATACGAAAAAGTCCGTCGAACGCAGCCAACTTCACGTTGGTTGTACGAAGTTTCAAGTCGAAATGTCACACTCGATCCAGTTACAACTTCACATTTATCGCAGCGCGAATAGTCGCAGGGTATTCAGCGATAACATTTTGCGGCAACTTTTATTGTGGATACCTATTCGCATTGCGAGTATCCGCACTCAAAAACGGATATGCGACGGATAGTCGACGTACACCTATTTTACCGCAAATTTCTCGTCGGGCAGTCACCTAGTGGTTATTAAACTAATCGAACCATTTAGTTAATTTGAGTGAATCGCAATTGATCATGCGCGCGTTCGGTTGGTCATTCGGTTTTAATCTAAAAGGGATCTCAACTGAACCATTGAGCACGATGATTGAAAGAAAAAAACAAAATGATATGTCATTAAAACGCTTTTATTTGATGTTCAATCATTGCAATGATGATACTGCCAACTATCAATTGAATCAACTCATCGTGCTGTGTATGCACGCGCGTTTGTGTGTGAGTATGTATCGACATGATGATGCCACTACGAAGAGAGTGGCAAGTCAAAAGACCAAAAAAGATCACGCATCCGCGCACGCCCAACAACACACCAAATGCCGATGATGACGAAGCGCAAAGCGAAATGGAAGAAAGAAAAAAATGGTAAACTTTCATTCGGTAAATAAGTAGGTGAATCCAAATAATTTAACATAAAAACATAAGTGATTTTAAAGTCGCACCAGAAACACAACATCAAATCCATATAATGATGACGTTGATGGCAATCGAACAAACGAGATCTGTATTCGAACCTCAAACCGCATGCACTCGTGCTTTGATCACACACATTTGTCGAAGCAAAAAAAAGCGCAAATTAAACGGTGAGTCTGAGTGACGTTTTCTTCTCTCTCCTGATTCAATCAATTTCTACAATATTTCTTGCGTTTTTTTCTTCTTCTTCTTCTGTTTATCTGGTTCTTTGTCTGAGACTTTTACTCGTTTCATTTTTACGAAAACGTATCTCATAAAATGATCCAACAAAATGCGACATTATTTGCATTCGAATTTCGAATTGTTTCTCTTTTCTTTCCTCTGTTAAAGTGGGTTCGCTCTTTTTTCGACTTTTTTCTGTTCCATCTTGTGTTTTTTTTCTTGTTCAGTTCCATGTGCAATGCACCGATGCAGCCAACCGACCGAGTGGAAAACCATGTAAATCTGATTTGTTGAAGATTCATTTTAAAGGGAATAAAATGCTGAATTTTTTTTCACCGGCTTATGTCAAATGTACATGCAATGCGAGCATACATTTTATTCCCAAGATTTTCTTCCATTTTTTATTTTGTTTCTTTTCGTTTGTTCATTTTTTGAACATGAGCACCAATTCAAAGTTGTGAAATACGCTAAACCTGCCTTCATTTTTGAGGTTAAAAAAAATACTTTTGGTGAACGGCACACACTCTTATCAGGAATTTTTGTAATGGTGTGGTTGGTATTCTTGAAATTGCGTTCACTTTATTGTGCCACTGCCGATGGAAATAAGATTGAGAGCAATTAAAATGCATCAAATCGATGAGTTGACTTTATGGTGAATGTAAATTCACTTGTTATGCCGAATTTGGATTTATGATTCATGTGGAAAGAGTTGTGTTGTTATTGGCGTTTAAAACACCCCAGATTTTTCGTGGAATACACTCTTGATTGGTTGATATTGTGTTTTTTATGTGGTTGTCGCTGTTTGTTGAAATGGTTTTTATGTTCGTTAACAAAACACATTTCTTTTCCATGATGTCTATTCATGTGCGGTGACATATGTCATTCAAACCGTCGTTGAAAAACGTTATGAAAATAGACTAATTAAATATTTACCTTCTCTTTACGCATTTGGCCTGTGTGAGATAGAGAGAGAGAGAGAGAGAGAGAGAGAGAGCGAAAGAGAAATAAGTGAAATTTCCACTCTTTACTACACTGCCAGTGAGAAATGGTGACTCAAAATCAATTCGAAATTCATTCAATGTGTCACTTTTTCAATAAAAAAAAAACGATTTTACCGTCTTGTTTTTCGGAATCACTAAACTCACTACTACATGAATTATTGAGCCACAAAAGCATAAACTCCGAAAAAAGGGGGCATCTTATGCTAAACGCATAATTGCAATTTGCATAAATCGAAACATCATTTGAATAAAGCCAAATGCGTCCAAAGCGCAGCACCGATCTGTTCAAATATATATGATGGTAATTAGAGGTGCCACCGTCGCTTATTGGGACGATCGTACGGCATTGTTATTCATCGCTGGTTCATGTTTTTTTTGCTTTGCATGCTTATTGCGTGTATTGTGCAAAATCGGCAAATTTTTCCCTTGAGTTACATCTTACTTTTTGCGTGAGGCGCATTGTTCATCTTCATAGGGTAAATGAAGTCTACTGAAATCTCGATGTGAATCTTTCTCTATCTCCCTCTCGCCGATTGCACGAGTGAAAAAAAACAATAAAATCTCAATTCAAGAAAAAAGATGTGCAATACCATGAAGTGTAGGTTTTTTGATGGTGCGGAAACTGAATGGCGAACAGTTGAACACCCTGTGTGAATACTTCGTGTGGGTGTGTGTGTGTTAAAAAGAAAAAGCATAAACTCAAAACAAACAAACAAAAAAATGGACAGAATTGGTGTAATATGCGCGCGCACGATTACAACAACCCAAGACGATTGCACTCGTGTGAACGATAGTCAAATTGGCTATATATGCAATTAGATGCATAGAAAAACAATTGCGGCTTGACCGAAAACAACGGCTGCAACATGGTATAATAATACACAGCACATTTCAATTGAGCTTTAATATATGTGTGATTGCATTTCAGCATCAAGATTTGCATGACTGATTTATCCATCTTCGAATGTGCGCACACTATGTGGTCATTTCAAAGTATTTGTTTTCTTTTCTCTATTCGCTTCTTCGTTTCGAACTTATAAAATCGTGTCGATGATTTACAAATCGCACAAATGTGTGTCGATTATTTTATTGAAGAAACAATGAAGAAGAATACACACACACACACACACACACACAACACATCGTATGATTTGTTCAAATGAGTGTGGTGTAATCGTTCGATGGTATTGCTGAAATTGCGATCACGTTGGCCGTGTGTTTGTGTGTGCCTGCGATGGGAAATCAATTTGCGCTATTAAAATCTGATTTGATTGCAAGGCATAGGGCGAATCAATTCAAACAAATTGTTTATTTTGCATACGATTCAAGTTCGAATTGGCCACCAGGTTTTATCGCATTGCATCGAGTTGAATTGAGTTCATGGTTATTCATGATCTTTTCGAAAATAATTATATGCGGTTTGTACATAAACATATATCGTCATTTAGATGGGGTTTTTTTCCTTTTCTCTTTGCCAATTTGCAAAAGTGATGAAGTTCTTCCGTTAAACCACTGTTCGAATGGGCATTAAACTCATTTGCATCATCTGAAATTTTATGACTATCCGAGGACTTTGCTTACGAAAAAAACAGCAACGAACCAACAACCCATCCGCATTCGTTCATTTCCGCTAATTTTTTGTATACATCACAACGTCATCAGACTTGAACGAAGTATACTCATCATCGATTTTTTTTCATCAAATAATTTGATCTAATTAAGACTTCTATTTTTGTTATGATCAGATTATTTACGGATCATAAGCCATATCTCGTGATTACTGTTGTTTATAGATTGGGATTTTTCCCTTCGTTGCTGAATTACGGATTTGTCTACTCTTTTTCATCTATTCGATGGTTTTTCTATGTGTTTTTTTTTCGAATGTCGCAATGGTTTCGAGTGGAATGCACCACATCATAGCCTTGGAAAAGAAACCAGAAGCAAATGCAATTGTGAAAATTAGACGCATATGCTTACAGACATTCCATGAATCTGGCTTTAAAATATCTCTCTGTGTGTGCTTTCAAACAATTTCACTTTGACTTCAACTCGATGCTTTTCAGTCGAGTGAATCTGAGCTACGACTAAAATCTTGGCTGTACTGCCATCCTCAACATCAAGCTTGATGGATCCGATTTTTCGGACGAAATTATTTTAACGTACAAACATTTTACATCTGAAATATCGAAAAGCGTGTGTGTCCATCTATTGCATGATGTAAATCTTCTCGAAAAAAAAAACCCGCAAGATATGCGTCAGTCACGATTGCACAATCGCAACGACCATTTCACAGAAAGTGGAATAGTCTTTCACTTTTCGACTCATTTCCGAATGGCAAGTAACGAGAGAAAAAAAAAGCAGCAGCAGCAGTAACAGCACTAACACAACAGCCAAAGCGATGAAACAAACGACAGCACACACAAATATTATTATGTATGCACGATCTATTTTCGTGTAATAATATCATGTCATGCATTGGCCATTCATGAATCTCACTCGCTCATTCAATCGGATATGCCATAACACACTTTATGTGACAATCTCACCGGAACATGACGATGATGATGCTGCTGCTGAACGTGCCGGAATTTTTCGTTATTTTTTCTTCTTCTTCTTATCAATGATTACTTGAAATGGATGCAACGGTGCCTGTTTTGTGTGGCTGTTTTTTTTATTTAGATCATTATTTTTAATTGCACGTGGTAAAATGTTCAATATCAAACTCGCATTAAGCGAAAGTCAGATGCCGAACGTTAAATGAATCGAGACTTCGTATTTGCTTAAAAACCCACTTTGTACACAAAGAGCGGAGAAAAAAAGCCTTTCGAAAGTGCGCAAGTTTTGCCGAACATATGTTGTCATTTGTTGTTGTCGTCGCTTAACATACGACAATTAAAATTAAAATCTCATTGAACAAAACGACAAAAAGTCGTTTTTGACGTACAATTGTTCACACATACACAAACACACATATCGCTTTTGTTTCTTCGGTTTTTTTTTGTTTTTTTTTTTCATTTCTTTCATCAAACAGGTTCACAGAGAGACAGACGACTGTGGCATTAAGTCACTAAATCATGTTTTAATTTCCTTCAAAAGTTGTGAAATGAACTTCGAATGCTTCCTATTGCTTGGCGAGGAAAAACAACCTTATACACTATATTTATGTTTTTTTGTTTTTTTTCCCTTCATTTCGATTTATTGTTGTCAATGCTTACCTGTTGCTATTGCATTCAACGCAACGATCACCGCTAATATCACATATGAGGCATTTGTAGAATCGAAAATGGATTTTTTGCAGCCAATTCGTCGCATTTTCGGTCACATTAACTCTATTTGGAAGGATCGTTGTCGGCGCTTTCGTCGTCGTCGTTTTCGTGGTCTTCGTCGTTTTCCAAAGTCAATTGTTGAATTTGCCTTATTTTTCTTCTTTTTTCTTTAATTCAAATTAAGATGTCAGTTGATTCTCTCTAAGTTGTATGTCACACTTTACAATGGCTATTGTCTTTACCAACGTTTCTGTGGTGTCAACGGAATGAATAGCGGTTGTCAGTTGTTGTTGCTTTTTTTTACTTCAAAACAGTTCTTATGAGTATTTAATCACAGCATCGAACACACCTTCTTCAAACCACAATTACTTGGTTTGGTCTGATTTCATTTTCAACCTTTTTTTTACTGTGCTTTTTTTCAATTTGTTTGTTTTGTTTTTTTTCTCAATTTCTTTTCTGTCTACAATTTTCTCTCACTGAATATAGCTGAATGCGTGCGCTTGTATGTGTATGTTCGTTTGTGTGTAGTCTTTCTCGTATTGCGATGATCAACAACCATTTAAAATACACTTAAACGAATCGAAAATGAAAATGCAGTCTATTTTTGGTTCAACTGTCACTATACATACAAAAATAAATTTTTGCACAAAATTATCGTTAAATTTTTATTTCAACTTTGATCATTCAAATAAAATGCCATTGAAGAGAAACAATCTGAAGAGTTTCTTTTCTTATTGCCGCTGTTAACAGATTGCTGCTGAATCTGAATTCGATGTATGTGTGTTTTATCTTTGCAGACCGTGTTTGTTTTCTTCTAAAGACTTTTCGTTTGTGGAAAAAGCACAGCAGACAAAACGATTTGGTGCTTCTGTACCGTACGACGTTCAACGCGAATCTGTTTGGATGTTTTCTACTTTCACACACCTTATGATCGGCCGAAACGATCGCTTGGGCTGTGTGTTGCTTTGAATTTTATGTGTAGCGAACGCGCGCGCGTTGTCGCAGTGGAGTTTGGTTGTTTTTTTTTTTGCTTTATGATTTATTTCATCTATCTCGTTCCCGCTGCGTGAATGTTTACCTGCGTTTGAATGCTTCAAATCGACGCTGTATGCATATATATGTGCGTTAAGCTTGGCGCACAATCGCTTCACTCGCAGTCGGTTTACCTTAACACTCTGCTGCTGCTGCTTCGCTCGGTGCAATATAACAAAACCGACCGATTACGAATGGTTTTTGTTGGCGTATGCGCTTTCTCTATTCAACCGATGAATCGTTTTTGGAGCTGGCTCGTTTCGGTTACAGCATTGAAACGAATGCTACATGGTTTCGATTACAATAACAACAACAATGAGAAACGAGGTACCCCCAGTCAGTGAGTCGATTTCGTTGATCAGGCGTTTTAGCCATTCGCATCACATTCAATATGATAATGACTTAACTCTTATCGATGTTCGATCGATACACAGCACACAATCGAAACAACAATCCGAACGGTCCGATTTTCGTTCCAATTCAAGCAGTGAACGCACGACGGCACACCATCGATTTGAAAGACCTGAAACCGAACAGAAAACAAAAAAAATTATAAATTCAACCGATTACAATAAATTGATAAGATGCTTCACCTAATTTTCGATCGAAATATTCTATCGATTTTGGTCGCATTCTCAAGCGGCACGGATCTCAATTCAACAACACGCAAATGGAACCGATTATAGTTTGAGATTTTAAAAGAATATGCAAGCAATGAGCGGCACAACACAATACAACGTTTCGCAGATTAATATCAGTTTTGGTTGGACGTAAGCAATAAATTGATTGTTCGTTAGAAATTCTGTTAATCGACATCTTTTCAATAATTCATTTTGAATTTTCCCAGAGCGGAAAATTCAATCGAAAGATGCATATTTACTTCATGTTTGCTTGAATGAGTTTTCGTTTGTGTTTTGCTACTAATGCCATGTAATGAGTTCCTCCATTTGCTACTGCTGTCGCCCACCGATGAAAGTCGTTTCTTCATCACAAACACCAAACATATCTCTACCGTACTTAATCTTTACTTTCTTATTATACACTCACTCCGAACGTTACATAATGCTATTAGTGCAGACGCACTATGAAAAAACATTACCAACCAAATATTTATAATTTGCAATGAATGACTTCGATATGTATCGTCGATTTCGTATTCTTTGTGATTTCAATCAAAATCAAAATCATATTATGTGTCTTACGCTCGCATTATTCAATTCCAATGAGTAATATTACTTCTGTTTTTGGTTTTGCCGCCATCACACAATGATTACCATTCGGCTGTACCGTACATAGGCACACATTATCATGTTCCATGTCGTCGTATTGCTCGCTCTCGGTGTGTGTCAACAAAGAAATGTGAAATTCAATGCGAACTGATGATTTTCATCGAATTTATCCATTTGCATGCCGCAGTGCACAACAACACCGATTAGCTAACTCGATTCTGTTTAATTACAGGCCGTGCCATTTTCATTATATTCGTATGGCACACGTGGTCGCAACATGAAATAATTGCAATTTCAATCACGAAAAAGCGGGTGAAAATTTTGGATTGTGTGTGTGCTACTTTATGTTGTGCTGCTGCTTCTCTGGGTTTTCGCGCAATTCATCCAACGCAACATTGCAATTCGCAAATGTTCAAAATTGACGTTATATAAATCAGGTAGAAACCATTTTTTTTTCTTCTGTTTTAAATGACAAAGCACCACAGGGAATAAACGAAATACTTGCAACAATTGGTTGAAGTTGTACATGTTGTGGTACATTTTCGAAGTTGTTTGGAGTAAAAGCTTTTTAATTGGTTTTTGGTTTCACGATTTACCGTTAGAACATTTTGTTACGGTTAATTTGCCAATTTCTATAAGCTTCTACTTATTCTAGCCCATTTTTGGTCCAATTTTCTTCATCATTAATAAACTGTAAGAGTTTTTTTTAAGTGGAGATTCAGTTCAATTTTGATTCATTTTACGATAAATGCTTCAATTACCAATTTCGGAACGATTTTATGCTTACTAATGGCCGAAAACATCCAAATATATCAAACAATGGTAACAAAAAAAAAAACTCGTTTCTTTTTATCTTTCGGCCTTTCTTCCAGTTGCAAAATGTTAGGAAGTTAGCGGTATAATTAAGTTTGGTCTTTGTTGGATCACTTTTCCTCAATTTGCTTCTATGCTCCGAAGCCCTCGATTCTCTTAATTGCATAACCGACGATAAAAAGAATAAAACGATGCATTTCTCGAATTGTTTGAGTGTGTGTGTATATGTGATTGCATTAAACGGTTCTTTTCCATCAACTATTCCGTGCGATGCAATTAAAATCGAATTCATGCAGAATGTGTGGTGCATTGCACGAGTCGTTAACGGTCGATGTTTGAAATGAGGAAATGCATCACCGCAAAGAGAACACCGGGCGGCTTTCTTGCGATAAAATGCCTTAAAGTGACAAATAAATTAAATAAAGAGACTTTCATTCCGGTAAAAGATTAAAGTACGATTGTTGTTTGGGGAATGGTTGCTCTTCCTTCTTTCTCTCGTTTCGTATATATCGATTTCCTAATTCCAAACTCGCCCAAATATGACACACACACACACACAAGTTCCCCATTCCACTTCGTCGGTTGTCGTCGTTGATTCAACGCAAAATAGAGCTGCTGCTGCTGCATCGAATTGCGCAATAACTATCTTTTTTGTGCGCGTGCGCTCGTGATCGTAGAGGAAAAAAACATCACACACTCGAATAGTAAGCAGTGCTACCGTGATCGGGTAATTTAATAGCTTGCTGATTTCTTCATTTGTGCAGCGAAGAAAAAAAATGTGATTACGACACAGCAGCGGAAGTGGAAGATTTGTGTGAAAATGTTTCGGGAAAATTCGCGAGATATGCATCTAAGCCCAGTTTCCGGGTTATTTTACACGAAGAGAAAAGTGGTAAAAAATGAGATATTTTCACGAGTTAACTACATATAGGTAATACATAGAATGCAATTATGCAATGGTAAAATCCAATTACAGCACACATAAAATCGATACATCGGTGTTATCAAGATCGTATCCATAAACATTTCGATGCCTCACCTCGCCATACCGAATCATACACACACATGCCATGGCACAAAATGCTCACAATGATAGTAAGAGTATGAGATAGAAGGAAAAACTGTGCGCAATAGACATCTGACATTGTAATTGCGGCGCATATCAAGCGACGATGAAATGTGCGCGCGCGCAAAACGAGATGAATTGAAAAATGTAAATTGACGTATTTATCAACAGTGACGCTTTTTTTTCTTCTTATTACAGCCTCTGTCGTCTCAACCATTTTTTTCTGCTTTTACAGTTCGACGGTGCGACGGTAGCATTGTCATACTCTTGCATACATGATATTACTGCATTGAATTCCACACGGATAATTTTTTTTTTATTAAAGGAAAATTATAGACGAATCAAGATACTCAAAAGCAGCACATAATGCGACAGCCGTGAGTCAATTAGCTAGTAGACTCGTTTTGTATGTTGTTTGCACACACAAAAAATAAACAAGCACAAGTATAAGATGAAGAAAAACTGGTGCATGATTGTAATGCGTTGTGTTTGTTCCTAGGTGATTGTATAGCATTCTTTTTTATCTAATTCGAGCTCATGTTTTCCGTTCGCCAACCAATTTAAAATGCGAGAAATTTGGTCATTTAAGTGGCACACAATTACATGGTCTTCATTTCGGACGTGATCCAATGGAAATAGACTTGATTTTTTTTTTCGCTCTTGAATTTTGGACCCATGTCTTTTTTTTCCATACGTATATTGAATGTGGTGCATTTTTTTGCTCTCGCGCGCGAAATTGGCACGCGCATATCAGATGCGTTTTATATGGCAATAAATCATGTGGATTTGTTGGTCATCGATGGTACTCAATGTCAAGGCATTGAATGGCGTGTGCACACACAGCATGCATTTAATACGTCTCCTTGCACATAAAGGTTATATTTTCGGTTGTTTTTGTTATGGTTGTTGTAATAAAACACTGGCGAACATTTATTTTCGCTTTTATTAACTTTCAAAATGTCACTTCGTGTCAAACCAGACAGAACCACTTTCATTGATTTTGATTTGCCTGATATCGGCAATTCATCTTCGTCCGTCGATGATGGTTTGCGTGTGCATTAGCACGAACTTTGTTCGCGGTCTTTGTGTTTGTTTACATTGGTTTTTTTTTTCTTCTTCTAGAATTGACGAAAGATCTCAATGCCAATACTGGCGGCGAAATGACAACAACATTCCGTTGATTCAAACATTTTATTACTCGCTTCAAATCAAACGTTCGTCAACGCTGTCGCATGAACGTGTGAACTTGTACACGGTGAATACTAACTCCAATTCAGATTCGTCAGTTTGAATTCATTTTCGGCTTTCAATTGTTCGCATATAATCACCACAAAACCAAATTTGCCATGTTTTGATAGGTTTCAGCTATCGTCTAATGAAAAGACGACTTAATAAAAATTAACATATTTGCATTCATGTAAATAAAATAAGCGGCAATGTCCTTGGTGCGACACTTAACAATCATAACCGTTCATTCACACACAATCATTTGGTTAACAAAAAAAAGCTATCGCGAACGATATGCGGTGTGCTGCACACGCAAATGTAGAAAAATGTCTAGAAAGGCCATCCAATTGGCCAAATAGTAATAAAAATCGTTCTTTAATAACGCTCAGTGTGGATTTCCAATCGAAATTGACACAACCAATTGACAAACACATTAGAGATTGTGCAATCCAACAGTCGGTGAATTCTGAAGCATTAGCAGTTAGATTAGTGCGACCACCGGTGCTCGAAATGTTTGCTTTATAAAGCAAACTTTAAATAGTCTTTGGCTTTCGAGTTTCCAATGAATTCGTCAAACATTTCCCAACCAATAAATCAATATTAATATGGGATTATTGCGCTCGGAGAACAATAAACACAGCGACGGACTGGCGTGAAGCAAATATTACACACGTTCAAACGTTTTGAATGCTTAACGAAACAAATAAAGAAAAAAAACCTCGCATCGATGTTGAAATGAATGATTGGTTCAGTGTTTTCTTCGATATAAAAATAATTAGCGATGATTTGTCACTAAGCTATTAAAATTGATGATTCTGCATTGATTTTATGATCGAATAAAATCGAAAAATATGGAGAAAACGAAAGAAAAGGGAGAAAAAACGGTCGAAATATGCTTCAAACTGGTTGGTCGATGACTGTGTGAATTATCACCATTTGACAGTCTTCTGTCGACATCATGTTGAAATGATATAGGCAACACAGTCTTTGTCTCTCTGTTAGCACCATGGAAAACGTGAAAATTGAATTGAAAAACACAAACGCGCACGAAATCGAAGCTGTGAAATTGCAATCGAGGTGTTGTTTCATAATCGCAGATAAATTCAATGTTTTTACGATCAATTACCCGAGTAACACGAGATGCACACCGATTTTAAGACAATTTAATACATTACGAATTTTCGCACT